ACAGGGTCTGAATTCGAAATTATTTTACTTTCTAAATTTTTTCAAATATTTTTTACTCCGTAAAAGGGATTAGGGCTAGAATTTCACCAGTCAAACCGGTCAGGACCCAATGACACCATACACGATGACCAATCCAAAGTAAGAAGAGTAGAGGGTTTATTGAGACGAGATGAGGCACACACACAAACAACCGAAAATCCCGAGACAAAATTAAAAGATATTGGGATTGTCTGTTGTATTTATACTTCCTGGTTTATTCAAATTTCCTGGGAACTTGGGGGCTGGACAGCCCATGGCGAAGTCCAAGGATTGGGGGGCCGATGGGTCACGGTGGAACGGGTTCGGTCGGCTGGCATCTTCTTGGGACGATCCTTCGGGGTTGGGAAAAGAGCTCTGGTCAAACAATTCGGTCAATCTCCAAAAAAAAATTTCAAAATTTTCCCTTTTTAGAGCCAAAAACTAGGCATTTTGGCGCAAAATTATTGAGCAATTTTAACTTCTACATTATTAGTTTTGTCTATAACCATGTTTTATTGATGATTTTGACGTTATCACGCCACCCGAAACTCTGTAAAACACCCATTTGACCGGTCAGCATCCCTATTTCCTATTTTAAAATTTTTTTCTTTGCACTTTTCACGTGCTCTACCATCCAATTTTTTGTAAATTCCCCATGCTTCTCACATGCCGACCTTTTTTTAATTACCAGTTTAAGTCACGATATTAGCCATATGACTGTGTATATTCGAAAAAACTCCCCGCATTTTAGCCATGTTTTTTATCAGCAATTCTATATGTTGTATTAATATGCCTTTTCATCGGAATCTGCGAGATCCGCGCACGTTGTAACAAATCCTGAGCTGATTACGGCGTCTGAAAGGGTCGTCGATCAGACACGAGACTATGTTGTTGTAGGGCTTTTGATAGCGTTCCCTTTATTCGAAGGTATTAGACGTCACTCTAATCCACGGAATTGGGCGAAAACACGTGACTTCTGGCAGCGTCGTTTCCTGGGGATATTTTCCGAAAACAGTTCCAAAAAAAATGTGATAAAATTCCAAAAAATCTGTCATCTTGACACATTTTATTCTGAAAATTCGGGGTACTTAAAAACGCATAATAAATTCCTTATAACGCAAAAAAATTTCTTTTAACCAGACTTGCATAGATTACTGTTTTATGGGCAAATTCCAGAAAATCCGTCATGATGACGTTACTTTATCAGCAATATATCGGCAAAAGCGACCTATTTTCGAACACTACTAGCAATAGAGTATATCTAAAAAATTTCCCGTACCATAGATACTGTAATTAGCTGTGTTACAGTACCCCCAATGACGTATTTTCTGGATTTCCCCCCTAAAAGGCCTATAATCCTATTTTCCGCTTTATTCTGCAAAACAGCTTTGTCATCCGTGTTACGAAACACCTTCGCATTTACACTTGTTGTGAATTGGCGTTTTGTAATTTTTGGGGGTGACAGCGGACAGGCGAACTTGTTGTTTGTTTTGACAGATGGACGAGATAAGCGGCCTTGGGGGATTAAATCGGCAAGTCAGGTGCCCGGTCAAATATCTTAATGGGTTCGTCAACGCACGCCGAGTCCACAGTTACATTTTGGGAGAGGGAGGAGGAGGTGGTCAAGTGTAATATCAACTTTGAGAAAAAATCTTTTTCGATCTAAACCAGACTTAAAACAGACAAAATTTAGGGCATCGAGAGTATCTTTGGAAAATATCAGACCGCGTTATGCACAAGTGGTAGAGATATGAAACTTTAAAGTTCAAAAAATCGCGTTTTTTGTTCCGAAATTTTTAAAATATCTAGTGAATGAAATGAGATTTCTAAGCCCTTTTCTTAAATTTGAGATCGCGTTATGCAGAAATAGCCGGATAATGGGACTTTTAATTTCGAAAAATCAAAATTTTTCGTTTTTTTTTTGATTCATAACTTGTAAATGTCTATAAAATCTAGAAGCTTTCTCGCTTCGCTAAATTACATCCAGCCTCTTCATTACACCTCAATTGGCCGCTAGAGCCTCAATAAACAAAAATTGCAAACAGAATTTCCATACGAATTCCCAAGCAGTTCAAAGTTCAGTCGCCGTGTGTAATGCCCGTCGAAGGGCCACGTTTTGTGCCCACTTTCGTTCCGCAATTCTTTTTTCATAAGACCACCCGTACTGCTTTTTACCCGGCCCGTTTTTCGAATCAGCTTGTCGCGCTCTTTCGCGTTTTGGAACGTCAGAACGGGGAGGTCGAGGGTTGCTGCCTTCAACCATCAGAATTCATTTTGTTCTCTTGCACTTTGTTTTGTCGAGAATCTGCAAAACAAAAGCGCTTTTTTGGGCTCAATTTTGGCCCAGGTTTTGCTCAAATTTTTTGATTTTTTCCACGAAGTCATGGTATTAAGTTTCTCTCAAAAAATCGCGATTTTCGGCAAGAAATCGACAAAATTTCGCTCAAAAAAAAGCGGTAATTCCCCCTTTAGGACTGATTTCTCATCGATGTAATAATGATTTGGAAATTTGTTTTTAAAATTTTTTTTGTAATCCCGCAACAAAACCGTTTATTTCCCCCATTTTTTCATTGAAAGCACGATTTACAAGATATCACAAGGCCCTCGGTTTACTGTAGGATTATCGTTACTCATAATGAAGTCGTGTAGAGCTGGAGAAGGGTTATTTTCAAGGGATCGGTTTAATCCAGATTGGCCTTTTCTTTCTGCTGGTTCTGTTTTGTAGTGTAATTGGGAAGCCCTAAGGGCATCTAGAAACATTTTTGGCCCTTTTTTGTTCTTCGTTTTCTATGGGCTCTTGGCCTTGAATTCGGACTAGAAATTTTAGAATTTTCCCAAAATTCCAAAAAATATGTCGTCATGACGTATTTTTTTTTAAATTTGGATTTTGAAAAAAATCGGGTTGTAGATGATGGCCTATGCTATTTTCTCGATTAAGTTGAAATAATTTTTGCAATTTTATTTTATGTCATCATGACGGATTTTTTGGAAATTTTTCGTTTTTCGCTAAAAAAAATCTCATTTTTGGCTGATGACTTTTGCCAATTTTGCTGTAACTTTTACTGCTTCCTCGACCAGCTCGCTCTTTTACCCACTTTTTTCCTTTATCCTCCGCGCTCGCGAACCACTTCTTGGCGTTAATTTCGAAGTTGTTTTTTCTACATTTCGTGGAGCGCGCTCCGAAAAGGAATTATTTTGATTACATTTTGGGCGAAGGGGTTGTGGTTTCCATGGCGACCTCGTGAGGCCAAAGATTCCGGAAAGTGGGGGGATTGAGCGCTGGCCGAGGGAGGAAAAAGGGGCGAGCCGCCTCAGGGCTCAGATTAAGGGGCGCACCAGAAGAATGATACATTTCTAACTTGTTATTCCGCTTTATGAGTAGTGTTGGAGGGCCGCAGAGGAAGAGAGGGGGGCCCGATTCGGAGGTAGCGCGGAGAGCGGATACCGTATTTTTTTTGGGTTTACCAGTTTTTACAACTGGATAACTACTCCTTATTTTTGCGCTGATTTTTTTGAAAGTTGGGGCAAATCAAATCTACTTGTTGCCAATGAATTCTGTGAATTTTAAATCGCGTTATGCAGAAATTCCCGAATTTTTGAGACTTTTATTTTCAAAAAATTTTTTTTGCAATTTCGATACTTTTTCGAAATTTTTCTCGATTACATAATTCCACATGACTTTTGATTACAAATTCTCAGCTGAAAAGATCTCCTGTGCCGTCAGAATCCCAGATTTCCCCAAATTTTCGACCTTTTTTTATATTCCACTTGCTATATCACCCCCAAAATGCCAAAATCTCTGCAAAAACATGTGATGATGACGTGTTTTTTTCTCCTTTCTTGTTTCCAATGTAACCTTGATTCATTTCCCGAACACCTTTTCCCATGACGTCAGTGTTTTCGCTCGGCAAAAGCATAATTTTATTGGAATTTCGCACTTTCCTCTGGTTTGATTTGGATTGTAGTTCGCTTTCCGATGCCTAAAGGGCATTCTCGTGCCCAACCGAGTGCTCGAATTTACAATTTCTTCCTGAATTCTCGAGTTTTACCGCTGGAAAACGCGGTAAATGTAACTTTAAAACGTCTGAAATTTTTATGCCCCGAGGGTTTCGTGAGCCGCCGGCATTTCGGAATTGGCCTTCGGCAAGTTCCTCATGCCAATGGCGAGTCATTTCAAGCCGTTGTTGGACTTTTACAGCTCGTTTTACCTTCAAGTTATATTACCTTAGTCATTTCTAAAGAAATTTACGGCTAATTCGGACCTCAAAGTTCGTGTTTACATCGTTCCTTTACAGTTTTTGTTGCTCGTGTTTTAATCGAATTTTCGCCCAAAAACAGGCTCAAATCGCCCTTTTTTCTTGCAGGTCCGACCCCAATTTCGCACCCAGCCAACGTCGAGATCGGCTGTTGGAGGGCCTCAACGCACAATAATTTCGAATACAAATCCCCGGAGCTTCCTCAAAACGCGGCCCAAGACCCGCAAAAAGCGTCCGCCCTCGCATGGCGGGGTAGCGGACCTCGCCCATTGCTCAATGGATTGCTCGCGGAATCCATCCACTTCAATGGATCCCGATTGCCTAAGGCGTTGTAGGTCAGGCTGTTCGAACAGAGGTTCAAATTTCTCGCCGGATCAATGTGAAAATTGGTCGACGAATTTGCGACAAAGTCGATGGAAAAGGAAGGATTTTAGTCGAATTTCATCGACAAAGCGGCCAAATTCATCGATGAATCCGCTAAATTCATCGATAGATCTGGACAAAATGAAGCCACAAGGTCATTTTGCTCCTGATTCCACCAATTCCTCGACACTTTCATCGATGGAGAATTTCCCGTCGGCAAATTCATCGACGAAATTATCGGTAGAAAAGAGAATTTTGCCGTCGAAACATGGCTCAACAGCAATTTTATCGACTAAAAATGAAGTTTCATCAACGAAAAGTGCCCAAGAACGTGTTTCATCGACAGAAACTCTCGACCCATCGATGGATTGTGGACCTTCCCAACCGGGATCAACAAGTCCGTGTTGCTGTCGGATCTCCTGTTCGCACACCTCCGCCGCCGCCTGGCACTCGGACGCGCTCCCGGTGAGTGAGGGCCTCGTGACATTACTTTGGATGTAAAACAGATGTAATTGTAAACATGTTTTTTCGGTGGGGTGCTAAATTTAGGCCCTCTACAATCTTTGTTGTAGGATATAAATGGGGCTTGTTGCAGGAAGACGGGAGAGATTTCGGTTTTGGAGGGAATGAGTGTTTGGAAATGATGTCATTGCTGATAAGACAGGGGAATAAGGGGGTGGTTTGGGTGTTGCAAAATGATTGCCGGAGGGGAAATGGAAGGGAATTAGTAGTTTCCGGGCTCTTTATTAGCTTTATTTTGATTTACAGGTTTTTGAGGAGAGGGGACATTTTATACGAAAATTCTAGAAAATTCGTCATCGTGATGCAAATTTAGGCCAGGCTGTGCACTTATGATGTCAAAATTTTTTCAGTAGATAGAGCATAGCGCAAAACCATTTTATTTTGCAATAAAACAGGAAATTTTGCACAATAAAACAAGTCATGATGACGGATTTTAAAGAATTTCAAATTTTCCGGCCTTTTGGCGGTCTAAAATAATATTTTCCCTAATCGTAAGATCATTCTTCAATATTCAAACTATAACAGACATTGTCCGCCATCTTTTTCCATCTTCCTCCCACCTTGATGTCTCTATAACTCTATAACAATATAAAAATTTATTTTTCCCCTACATTTCGCATTCTTTGATCTTCAATCTCGCAAAGACTCCAAATTGGTCCAAAATTAACTCCGGCCCACCGAAAAGTGTGGTCTTTCGAGTAGCGAGGGACACGTGACCCACTTGAGTCAAGTGTTTTCCTCATGCAATTTCTAGCCCCTTGATGATGCAAATGGCACAAAAGTCGTAATGCTGCACTTTTTCAGCGCTGTAAAGGTCCGCCGTGTCATTTCGTGATATTATTCTGGTCATAAGATTGAGAAATCGACTAAAAACTGAAAATTTTGCAACTTTTTGCCGCTCTTTGGCCGTATTTTTCCGCCGCCGGCAGAATGTTGACAAAAAATGTCGTTGGCCGCATTTCCGGTGAATTAGCGACCTCTGCTCTCCACTAATTACCTCCCACTGACACTGTTTTCACTCTATAATTATCCGAAATTGCTTGTAAAAAATTCTCAAAATATTCTTTTTTCGTAACATAATTTGCCTCCCATTCTATACTGTAGCCGAGGAATTTTGCTCCAACGGATTAGGGGTAATACTTAAATTATTCATGGCCCATTTTCAAGGAGTATTAGTGACTTTTTGCAGATGGGGATTTGAAAGCAACGTTGGTTCTTTGTCCTAAAAAAACTTTCTCCGTATGACCTACAATAAATTAATAGGATTTTTTGAGGTTTTGAGGTCAGTTTTAGACCGCGTTATATAGAAATACTTGAAAAAACCACCAAAAAATGTAAAAAAATGATTACAAAGATCTCGCCTAATCTTTTTGCAAAATTTCAAACCGCGTTATGCAGAAAATACAGAAATATAATCTTTGTGAAATCAAAAAATCTCGCTTTTGCTCGGGCCTTCCTCAACGAGTTAATATTCCATTTTTAGTCACCAAAACGCTACTAACATGCATTTTGTCAACAAATTACACAATTTCTTGGCTTATTGCGGGTTTCCGTTTTGTGTTTTTTAGATAATCGCTGTACTTTACTCGTGTTACAGCAGTAATTTGCACTTTTCTGCTACCAAATCTCACGTACGCTCAATTTATTTTTGATTGTGCCACTAATTAGTTGTAATCAATTTATTGATTACTTAAACTGTTTTTATTACCATAACATTATTTTGATTGTTTTGTTTGAATATTTAACTGTTTTGCCACGTGCCAAAAAAACAAACACTTTCAAAATGTCCGCTTGTCCTTATTCGTAAATTCTGAGCTCTATTATTCGACCTTTCCCCGCCGAAAAAATCAAAGGCATGCCCTTGGCACTTTACTTACAAAATACAAGTTTTTGGCCTCCGCCGAAGTCGATGGGCATCGCCGGAAGCCAAGGTCCAATTGGGTCGACTCCTGTCGACTCGTTAAGGGTGTTAGGAGTACTCCTCGGAGCCGGGATTAGATATTGTAATCTGTTTTTTTTTCTGCACCTTCTTTCAAAGAATCTTTTGCGGTGAGAGCCATCGGATTACGGTAGCGACGCATGAATTTTTCGGACGTCAATCAGCGAAAACATTGTTTTAGCGAAAGCTAAAGTTAGGATAGTGCCCGGAGGAAGAGGTAGTTCGTTTCCAAAAGGTATTAAAAAGATATTTTTGGGGATTTGAATTAATTGTTGGATATCGCAAAGCATCAAAAATAAAAAAAAATTTAGTCATCAAAAAAATTTTTTTTTTGAAAAAAGCACCTTTAAATTTCGATTGTTTCTGCATAATGCGATCTTAAAATTTCCTGAATTCTTCAAGAAATAAAACTTATAAATCTCACCAAATTTGGGCAAAGTCCGATACAATTTCTTTTTCGCCTAAGATACTGTACTTTAGTAACTAAAATTAGCAATTCAAATCCCATGTTTGTTGCGAAATGCGTCTTATTTTTTCACTGCATAGCTTCTAATCGTCTTTCGGCAATTTTCTAATCTTGTTTCATCTTCTAGTTGAACTTCTCGACAGGGTTCATTTTTTTTGCTTTGAGCCATTCCCTCAAATGTTAATCCAGAAATTTTTATGAAAACTTTTTATCCCTAAATGGCCTCTTTTTCGCCATCTCCAGCTCAATCCGCTAGTTGTCTTCTAAAAATGTTACTTTAGCCAAAAAAAATTTTTACATTACACTAGGTACAATTAAAAATTATTAATCTAATCATATCTTCACACGTGCCCAAATCAGCTTCTGCTGCTTCTCCAACTCTATCTAATTGATATTCGATTAATTGCGGGGATAATAGGGGATGTTTTAAAATTATTTTGGTCATGCGGGTTTCTGTGGGCGGGGCTTATTTTTGGAATATTAATTTATTGCTCTAATCTTTAAGAAAATGGCTTAGCTTTGGAATTCTGCAATGGTATGATTAATTGTTAAGCGATAACTTTTAAAATTTTCAGCTTTTTTGAAGTTAAAAGTCTCAGATCTCGGTAATTTCTGCATAACGCGGTCTGAAAATTTCATCAACCCCTTCGGACATACTGAGTTCCCCAATTTTTGCCAAATTTCATAAAAAGGCTCTACTTTTTAAGACCAAAGATAGCAATAAAAGTTCGCAAGATACATTTTTCCTCGAAAAACACTTCAACTCCCAGATTTGAGCTTTTCACTTACTACTATTACAACTTTTTTAAAACAAGTTCAAATTTGCACCGTATTTTTCCAATTGTATTCCTTGTAAAGCAAAACTGTTTTCCTGTTTCTCTCCCAAACTAAAGATCGCCTGCGGGCTTTCCCATTGCTCCGTAACCCCGATTGTTCGTGGATTGACGCGTTCGTGGGCCAAATGTCATCCACTTGGCGTCACTAATCCGCGAGGTTCAACGGAATTACTGTTTTCGGGGATTAACAATCCCATGATCTGCTTTTATTGGGGAGGGACCTTCTTCTGCACACACCCACATCGGGAGCGCTGGTAGATGGTCGATTAAGGGTGGAGATTAATTCTGCTTTCGATAAATGGCCTAATTACCGATTCAGTATGAGTCAAGGAGCGGGGAGGGAAACATGGGCAAGAAAGATGGGATAATAAGGATCTCCGTGAATTGCGGTGTATTTGTTTTTGGACGCGGTTTCGGTATGGGTTCGTTTAGAGGGGAAGAATTGACACACTGGAGTCAACTCTTTCTTTTTGTGAGATTTTGGAGGTTCCGGTTAGTTGGTTCTGTTTAAAGCGTATTTTCAATCACATATGATTATTTTGCGAGAGAAACACTTGTCCCATTGGGTCAAGCTGATCCCCAGGCAAAATTTTTCACATTTTAATGCGAATTTCAAAAAATTTTTTTGACAATAAATACTTTCAGACGGTACCTCAAGTCATGCCGCAGCGCAAGCGGCGAAAACGCGACCGCAACAGGCGCACCACACCCCTCTACCATAGCCTCAAATCCTATCTGTACATATTGTTGATGTTATTCCTCCTCTTCGCACCCACCTCCACAGCACAACAAAGTCGACCTGGCGTCGACACAAACGGCCACACACGCTCGTTGGAAGCCCTGAGGGCACGACGCGCCGTCCAACAGATCGGGCATTTGGATGCAAACGGAAGGATTGTCGTCGACTCGAAAGTGGATACCTCCAAACTCTTCAAATCGGACAAAGACGTGCTCGACCTGGCCAAGGGTGGTCCGATTCGGCTGGACTCGGCGGCAGCTGCCGCCTTGCTCAGCGACAACCCCGAGGCACTGAAGAAACTGGCCAAAATTTCGGGGAAAAAGGTGGAAGATGTGGCTCCGACCGTCGAAGCGGTAAAATTACCAACTTCGGAAGAGAAGGACGCCAAGGAAGAGAAGGCGAGGAACTTGGAAGTGATGGATTTGGCTAAGGTTCGGCCCAATTATTCGATTTATTTTAATCGGACAATCAGAATTGATGACAAAGTTATTGTGGATGTCATCAATGAGGGACGAGGTGAGTAGCCCGGAAAAAATCTTTCGTAAAGAGAAATCTTTTGAACATGAATTTACCCCCTGGATACTGTGATGTATAATTACCATTCTTTTCAGACGAAACCTTCAAACTGAACCACACTATCCGCCAAGTCGTCCTCGACTGCACACTCACACTGAAAGACCTCCAACTCCAAAACAGTTCCTCTCCGATTATCCATTGGGCCGATTTCCATACTTCAAGTGCCCTCTCCAACTCATCCCGTCTAATCCTGCGTGGAAAACAGCTCGCTGATGTGATTTATAACGTGAGTTTTACAAAAATTTTTTTACTCTAAATCCAATATACCGAAACCGTTCTACGACAACTTTTTCAGGGGCTGTACCCAACATGCACGGCTCAGATCGCCGTTGCGGATGTCTCGGAGCCGATTACGGTGTTCTCTCGGACCTTGAACTTCCCGGCTTTGAGAAAGTCGGATCTGAAGATCTGGCCGAGAAAAGTGGCCGTTCCTTTCGGGAAGATGGTCCGATTGGAATGTGTCCACAACTACACCGAGGTGAAGGAGATGCTGTGGTGGCATAACGAGAAATTGATCGAGGAGAGCGATCGGAAATTTGAAGTGTAAGATTTTTTCCTTTTCTTGAAAAAGCATCGCACATACTTCATTTCTCAAAACAAAGACTTCCTATCAATTCTTGCCTAACGACCCCTTCAATTTCAGCTACAGTAACCCGCACCGGCTCAGTGTCCTTTACATCCCGGAAATCGAGCGCCAACACATTGGGCTCTACGAATGTGGGATTAGACTCCGCTCCAATGTGACCATAAAGTCCAGAGATATGGCCGAAGTCACAGCTCACCAAACTGCGGACGACACTGTCCTTGCGCAAGAAGCCGAACTCCCTGCGGAAGCTGTGGAGGCCCGAGAATACGAGCCTTTGATGGTGGAATGTTGGGACGAAGATTTTGAGTCCCAATGGTATAAGGTTACCGAGGAAGGAAGAGGTGAGTAAAACCGTTACTTAACCGTCAAAAAAAGTCTATAGGTAAGGATTAATCCTCCATTTTTCAGATCTCATTGCAAACTCGACGGTTCTTTACTTCAATTCCGTCGAAAAAAGCGATAAAGCCGTATACGAGTGCTTTCAAACTGATGGCAACGAGACAATTCGCGTGTTCAAGACTAAACTCGAAGTCAAACGTAAGTTTTTTACCGCTAACGCACGGAAACTCCCCAAAGTCATAACTTCTCATCCTAATCTCAACCTTATTTTAGCTCAAGCCGTGGATTTTGAGACCGAAGAATTCACCACGATCTATAAGAACCAAGGAACGCCTGTCAAGATCATGTGTGAGACCCACCCTTCGTTGGATGAGACACCAGAAATGGCCACTTGGTTCAAGGATGGGGTTGAAATTCGAGCAAACGAACGGGTCTACAGAAGAGTGGAGAACATCGGCGAAGGAGCTGTGGTTGGGAAAGCGCTGTTTATATCGCTTGCCCAGAAGACTGATGAGGTAAGGAGGGAATCTCAGATGGTAAAATACGCAATCATTTCTTGGAAACAGTCTAAAACAAGGTTTTTGCAAATTTCTTTCAAAAAAATTCAAAAATTTCCTTATAATTTGTCGAAAATCTAATCACAACTATTTCCAGGGGATGTACGAATGTGTTGTCCGCAAAGGCCACGCGCAGCGACTCCAACACAACCTTCTGAAAGTGAAGAAATCGACAGAGCTTGTCTTGAAGAACCTCGAGATGAAGGTCGACCATGTCAAAGCCAGTTTCACTGCTCATTTCGATCTTCCAGATGCTCTACAATACTGGGAAGGGATGATTTCGACTTATTTCCTAGTCTACCACACCGCTGACCGTCTTAAAGCGTTGAATATAATGCCGGGGAATGGCGCACGGTGCACGGAGAACAATCATTGTGTAATGGATGTTCACCCACCCTATCCGTTGGGAGTGGCAACTGCTTATACGTTCAGAATCAGCATGGTTGTGGATGAAAAGGCCTCGGTGATCACTCCGCTCTCAGCCGAAGTGAATGCGACGAGCTGGGACGGGACGGCCAGGAGTTCGCTGGAATTGGATTGGGCCTTCAAAGACGAACATCTGGAGATCCATTGGAAAAGGCCGGAAGTCCCCGGAGAACTCAAGGACTACCAGATCGACTTGTTCAACCTGAGTTCGGCCATCACTTTGCCCGAAGGCGGAGAGAAACCACACACTCAACGGTTCAGAATTTTTGTAGCTGCAAATCAGACCAGCTATCAACTCGACATCCCATCGCCATTCGCATTCAAAGTCCGAGTAATCCCAAGAACAAGAGCGCTCCTTCCAAGCCCCTACAAACTCGAATCGGTCAAGGAATTCGGCTACACATTGATCGTGGTGGATGAAGAGAAATCGAACGTTGAGGTCGACTGGTCGATCCCCGCTCCAACCCCCAAAATCGAACAAGTTGGAGCCGAACCAAAACTGAAACTGAGCTTCAACGTCCTCGATACTCATAATGTCACATCAGTTCGAGTGCATTATCGACCACTGTCTAATCTATACCAAGGAGAAAACAAAGAGTCGAATGAAGTTATCGATGGAGAAGTAGATACCAATCATTCCACGCTCGCCGACTTCACAACTAATGTTATGACTCTCACAGAGGACTTGAAGGTGGGAACAGTCTACCAAGTTTGCTCAGCTTATGAACGAAAAGATCTCGGACAAAGAGGACAAGGAGAAGATCGAGCTCAAAAAGCCGGAAAGAACGAAAAATTCAATACGAAGGCAGACAATAGTGATAGCCAAGCTCAGAAGTCCGTCGACAATGTCAAATCCACCAAGATCCCAAAGATCGGCCTCTGGCATTGTCAGAACGTCCCTCTACTAGACCAGAAGGGTCGTGTAAAACAACTCAAAGCGGACGACTCCTTCTCCCCAACGGCAAAGAGAGAGCCAACCCCGGTAGATTGCGCCAAGTTCGGATATTGTCGATGTGTTCAGTCGCGAGACGACCGATCATTGATATTGATTCGATGGCCTCGAAATGCAGTGGGCGATCACGCAGATGTGGGAGGATTTATCCTAAACTACCGATACGATGGACCAGAAGATCTGGAGGTCAAAAAGAGAAAAGCGTAAGAAATTTGCGACTTCTAAAACTACATTTTATTATTTTAGTCTGGGTTCCATAAAAATTTTGTATTCCACATGACAGCTGATAATCTAAAAACAGAAACACTACAAAAATAGAACTTATTGACTCTAAAATAGCACCAGGAACGTCTCGATATAGTTTTTGAAAAGTTTTTGGGCGATTTTCGAAGTTTTTAGCGTTGTTGCAGAATGCCAAAAAATTTTTGACATCTAAAGTTTTCGCTTTGGGAATTGTTAAAATTAATTGAAATAGTAAAAACAATCGACAGAGCTTACTGATTTTCTCATTTCAGCAACCTCTTCACGGAAGGCAATGAGACAGTCAGCTACATTCAAGACCTTTTCCCCGGCTTCACCTACAAAATCTGGATCAACGTTTTCAACTCCGAACTCCAGGAATACCAAGGCTCCGAGTTCTCCTGCAAGACCCCAGAGAATCTTCCATTGCCTCCTCCGGTGGAGATCAACACCACTCAACTGAGCGACCGAGTTCTTCAAGTCTCCTGGAAGCCTCCAATTCCGACCGTTCTCCTGTCCAAAGTCCCTTATTTCGACGGCTACAATGTGCATTGGAAGAAGGTGGGACAACGAGAAGGTGCGGGGTACTTTGTGGAAGGTCATGATGTCAACAACCACATTCTGACCACTCAGGAGAAGGACGAATATGCCGTTTATATTACCAGTCATTCGTCGCTGAAAGGAGAATCTCCGCTAAAGTCGGAGGTGGTCAGCGCGATTGTTCATCCAAAGTCGGACAAAAACCACAACGTGCCGCAGATTGATGTCCAGAAGACGGAGTGGTTCGACGGGATCAAGGTGAAGGAGTATCGGGAAGAGGATCATCGGCCCAAGTTTTATCAAAGCGCTCACTTCCGCGAGTGGGTTCTCATCATTCTGGTTGTTTTGCTGACCATTGCCATAATCGGCACAGTCGCGATGATTGTCTACGTGCAGTGTGGGGATCGTATCTTCGACAAGGACGACGATGACTCGTTTAGTGGAATCTCGAGTGGACGCCGAACTTCTTGCGGCTCAAGGATGTCGGCAGCCAGTTCAAGTCTGTCGTTGAAATCCAATGGATCCGTCAACTTTCCGATGAGCTCAGGCGGAATTATGAGGCCGTTGTATGAGCGAGAACATCTGATCGGATTCAATGAAACGCACGAACCGCCTCAACTCGGACTAAATAACATTATTCTTGACTCGAAAGGTGGTCCAATGGGGTTCAGAGAGAAACGTCAGAAGAAGGTGCAGAAGATCATGGCGGACCCGAATTTTGCCAAGAAATTGGATGATTTGAACGGAGATCCAACTGGAATGGGAAAGTCCTTCGAGGAGGTTCTTGAGGATCTAGCCAATGAACAGAGGAACCAAGACCCCGTCCGGTATATTGGAGTGGAACGGCGATTCTCCCGGCAATCCCCTCCTCATAGTCCTGATGGATCGTTGAGCACCCAGTCCAATCCTCAATATTATCGGCCATACGAGGCCAATTTCCCATTGGATTTGCGAAGACAACAACAAACTCAAAGCCTTCCCAATCAATCGAATTCCACGCTGAATGAGGACAGATCGTATCCACACCGATATGCGCACTCTACAGTCAACATCGGACAAGATACACCGCATCCAACTGTGATATCGGATTCTGTTCCCTCGACGAATACGATCAAAGTGCAGGCTGAAGTTCACGACCCCAATCAGACGCCGGACGCCAACTTCTCGATGACCAAGTCCAATTCGTTGGTCGGCTTTCCCGAGCCCAATCTGGCCGAACTTTCGCAGGAAATGTCCACATCTGACGGCAATCTTTGTGAGCCCATAACCTCTAGTCAGTTGTTCAAACGACCGGCGCTGAGTTTCGAGTCGTTTCCGGAAGATGCGGAGAATTTGAAAATCCCATTAATCCGCAAAGATCAGGATATTCAGCCGGCCGAGCGACGACGGTTGAAGACTGGACTCGAACCAGAGCCCCCGGCCAACAATACCGCTCATACTACGTCAATGCCGAATTTGGCGGACTCTGGAATCGTCTACGATGACTGTGGAAACCATATTGGACTTGCACTGCCATTGCATACGATCAATTCGGAGAAAATCTTGAGAAACATCGATTTTGAGGAGGGAAAGTGAGTAAAAATTTAGTTTTTGAGGATTTCGTGGTAGAAAAAGGGGGATAGTTTTGGTAAAGTACGTTCGTAGAAGGTCCTCTTTGAATATAATTTTTCAAAATTTCCCTATTTCAGCCGCTTCGACAAGACCCAGCTGAGCGATAATTACACCGATACCAGCTCCTCGGCCGCTTCTTCACGCGGCTCCGATCACGCCGATAACCTTGGGCCGATGATAATCCTCTCTCCGTCCGACGCCTTCCACGCCCTCGGCTCTCGCCGACTCTTCGAGAAGAACAACAGCCCCGAATATGATGAGAATGCCATCGAAATGAGGGAATTCAAGATCGATAACATCGAAGCGATCTGAAAACATCGGCGTTTGATGGAATAGACTTGTACATAGCCTTGTATAGACGACCTCATGGTGGAATGAATCAGACATTTTTTGGAATTGATTTCGCTCATTCAGGTCCGCCAACGGCCAAACAAAGGCCAGACTGCCCTGCCAATCCTCTTTATTTTACAGTTTAAGCTGTTGTTTTGTCGCTGCACACCTAATTACACATTTATTCCAAAATTTAGCCAATTTTAAGGCTATTCAAGTTTTCGTGGTGAGACACAAAATTTTTCGCAAAAACCGATTTTTCAAAAAAAATCGAAAATAATCAGCTGTGTGACGACAAAATAACCCCGAATATGTCGTATTTTACATTTTCCTACCGTAATTTGTACTCTATGCGTCATATTCTTCGATCTGCCGACCAGTGAACGAGAGAAATTCCAGTCGATTTCCCCCTTACTGTAGATTCTATTGTACCATAGCCTTTATTCACCTTTCTGTGTAGCCCCATTCAACCAATAGAACCTCAAAATATCCGGCTTCTAACTTTCGTTTTCATTCTATTCAATTTCCTCCCTAGTAGTATACCATGTATACAAAAAGGCGGCGTCTCTGGTAGACACTGTCCGCAATGCTCTTGCTATGGTATTACCGGCATCCTTCTTTCAATCACTACCTCATATCCTTTATGTAAATGTTGTTTCCGGCTGAAGGGAGAGTATAGAGTAATGTTAAAAAAACGATTTTTTATGAATACATTTTTTGCCAAAGTAAGGTAAATTTTGATGATTTTAGAGAAAAATTTAAATTCTTGCGAAATTTTAGACTAAAATACCTTGATTATATGCCCTTTTGATCTAAAATACGGCGTTTTTTAGTGAAAATTTGCTTTATAGTCTCCTGGACAGCCTCAAAACTTAATAATTGGTGTATATCTAGCGAAGAAGTCCTCAATTTCTACGATTTGACTCCCCCAAATACCCTCAATTCCTGTTCCCATCCAAAAAATAACCTCGTTCCCCTCATAATTATCATTCACTCTCCCAATCGCCCCCCACTCTCTCACTCTCCCCGCCCCCTTTCTTTTCTTCCACACCCAACGAAAATATAACCTCCGGAATCCAAAAAAAATGTCGCGTCGTATTTTTGCGTTGACCTCAATGTACAATTCTCGCCCCCAACCATTGTTGACACAGTTGTATTTATCCCCGCATGTTGTACAGTTAATGTTATAAAGAGTCTATTTTTACTGATGAAAATCAACAAGAATACACACCACAATAAACGTTAATATTATTACTCGGAAGCTTGTTTTGGGAATTCGGGGAAAGAAAGCAAGGTGAACAAATACGGTTACTGTAACGTCGATGGCTTACAAGGAGAGTTTTCGTTTTTCGCTAAATTTTGCACACATTCGAGCGCAAAACGACGCACGTCAAACTGAGCAGTCCAGTGACCGGAGTAGACTCTTCGCTATCGGTTTTCTACACTTTGTCTTGATTTCGCAGAGAAGACAGAGAAAAGACGCGCAAAAACGTACTCTCTCGCCCCAAAAATTCCCCATTTCTTCCCCGACAAAACATTTTTTAGCGTCTTTTTTGGCAAATAACCAATCCACTCAACATACTTTTTATAGCTTATCTCAGTTTGACGTGCGACGTATCAATTTTTGAAGATTTTAGCTCGCGCTTTGCGTGAATCTCGGCTTGCACTGTGAGACTCGGATCCTGAGTTGTTTTGCGCAGTGCATATCTCCAGAACCACTCCAGCGACTTCGCCAACGAACTGATGCGTGAAGACAGGCGTGGCTGCAAAAAACGTTTTTTGGTTGGCCGTTTCCCTTCATGTTTGGCCTCCCGCCCGCAAGAAATGTTGATGATCTCAATTTTTGTTCAACGCCATTTGACAAAAGTTAGACTTTTGTTGCTAGAACAGGAATACAAAACTAAAATCCCTGCGATTCGTGCAGAATTTATCAATTGTTTCCCACCTATCACAAACACGACTCACAATTCTGCAGCACCCTCCCACACAACTCCCCAAACATTCGTTATCATACAAGGCTGACGTTGAAAGACGGAAAATATGATGTACGTCAGTTAAGCTGGGTGCGGCCAGCAAACGTGTTAACGTTTACAACAATTGGGGTTCAACTACTCAGAAGATCCGCTGCAACTTCACAGAAGACAAACAACATATCATAAGCATTCCCATTGCCAGATATTCTACTAACACGAGAAGCCATTTCTTATTTGGGTTATTTTCTATTTTGATGAGCCATACAAAAGTCAAAAAAAAGCTCACAATCAATTTATAGCATTACGTTATCAAAAATAAATTGCTCACAAAAAATCAGCTAATTCTTTCACAATCTGGGTGCGGCCGGAAACATTTCCCAGGGCCTTAAGCTTAAAGTCAACCCTCAAATCAAACTTTTCCCCATTCGAGAAATGTTGAAACCTTTGAACTTCCCCTTCATTTTTCTGCTCCTTCAAATTGGCCACAGTTTCGGCTATGATTTCTACATTAATGTGACTCTACCAACCGTCAAAAATGGAGTTCGCCCGTTTATTGTTGACACTACCTTCAGGACTAGCTTTGTCATGGATTACAAGACCTTCAACGGGACTCTCGACGAGTTGAGCACCTATAATCCAGATGATTCGTACTCTTTTGACAACAAAACGAGACCTTATTCAACATGGGCCAAAACCTCGACTGGCGACAAGCCCATTTCTGGGTATCTGGCCAATGAAGCGTTCGAGATCTTGCCCCAGAAAGGAGTAAGACACGATTTTGGGATCATCACGAAGCCTGGAACTGAAGATGTTGTCACAACTCTTGATGGGAACACTCGCATTGGGAGGCTCGGGTTCTACGAGGCTAGCCGATATTCCCCTTCAATTCTGTTCCATTGGCTACCCAAATTCAAGGAGCAACGGGTGTGTGTTCACATCACGGAATCGGAAGATCGAAGGTAAGGATTGATATTTTCAAACGCTTGGAAATCGCATACAAAATTCATTTCCTTAAATCTCCATATCATTTTTTGTTTTTTCAAGGGGATTGTAGGTGTTCAATAGCCCCAAAGTTGCGTTGAAAGTATTATAATCCATCATAAAAGTGGTGGCAATTAGAGTGTCCACTATAAAAGAGCGGCGGCCGTGCTTGACGGTCGGTAAAGTTACATTGATATGAAAGTCATAGATGTTGAAGATGAAAAGATACAAATGCTGCCTTCTTATGGAGATATAATTTTTGTTTTTTCAGTGTAAAGCAAAGTGTCGTTGCGATTGGAGTCAAGCTCCCTGAAGGCCGCCTCATTACCAAATACAATGACAAATACAACTATGGATGGACTCGAATCCCGATCGGCGACTTCAGAATCGACGGTGCTGATACGAAATTCGCCAGTTCGAAAGCCATAATCGACACGGCGTCGAGTAAAATCACATTGCCTTATTGGACCTTCGACCGGTTGGTGCAGATTCTGGATGCCAAAAAGAACAATGAAACGGGAGAATGGACCGTTAGATGCGACAAAATCAAGACTTTTGGGTTTAGTTTGGCCTACAAGCCCTTTGAAATTCCCTTCGAACGTCTTGTTTACCGCGAAAAGCCGGGAAGCCGGCTCTGTCGACTTCTTTTTGGCCGTGGCGCTGACTTAACCTACCTTGGAGTGCCGGCATTCATCAACACAGGAGTTTGCATGAACCATGAGAACCGGGATTTGCATATCTACGATTCCAGCTACAAAAAGGACTCTCCGATCTTCGCGGATGCCAAGGATTACGGGGGATTTGTTGGCAGCCATGGTTACTAATTTATATAATAAATAAAGGCAATTGATGAGGATTCAGCTAAAAAACTTGGGAACAGATGAAAGATTGAACGGTCTTTTCTGGTGAGAGAGTAGGCCAAGTGTAGTTATCAGAGAGAAGCTTTTTTTTGCCGATATCTCTCGATAATTTCATACAGGATACTTTTTATTCAGCAGTGACTCAGCAGTGATATATAACAACGAGATATAAGCATTATACGGAGGTCGTTTTTGGCGTTGAAATTGGTCGGACTTGCGGGTTGCTTGTAGGCGGATAAATAAGACTTTGTGGACTCCTCCACCCTCCAAACTCTCCCTCCAAGAACTCAGCCACTCGAATCAGCAGCCACTCCTTTCCAGGAGCAGCTACCAACTGAACACTTGTGGGATATCCATCTGGATCCAGGCCGGTTGGAACTGTTACTGCTGGAAGGCCGAGAAGGTTGAAGATAAAAGTGTAAACAGGGTCGTAGATATGAAGAAGGGATTCGTGATGGAGGTAGTGAGTACGAGGGAGGGTGGGGCAGATTAGAACGGCACCATCGGAGAGCTCCTGAAATTTTGGAAGTAAATTTTTTATTTTATGGAATTTTTAAGCAAAACCCCCTGAAGCCATTTGGGTTATGCGTATATCTAGGCCTAAGGTTTTTTACGACCTTTCTGGACATTTTTAAACGGAACTTTGCATAAATTTTACAATAAAGAACTTGAAAAATTCAAAAAATCTCGTTTTCATTTCTTTGAAATTAATTTAAAAGTATATTTTTTCTATAATTTATCTCCCAGAAAACTTAAAAATGGCCTACTTGCACGACATTTGCCTTGAATTTTTCCAATTCCCCCAGCAACTTCTCTATTTCGGCCCCTTGAACCTTGTGCTTCGCCTCAATTTCCACCAAGTTCAAAGCTATCGGAGTCAGATTGGATTTCCCCAGCAGCACCTTCAGCTTTTCGAATTTCATATTCGGCTTGACCAGACGGTTGAAGAAGATGTCGGTGACGGCTTGATTCGGCGGAGCGCATTTCGCCAGCCTCGCCGCGAACCAGCCGACCATCTGCGAGTCGTAGGGCATTTTGAAAAGGGCCGAAGTGAGTTGAAGCTTCGATTCGAGGGTTTTCAAGGCATTGTCCACCGACTTAACGACAGACTCGTGGGTGTATCGAGTGAGAGGACCTTCGATATTATAGTAGAACAACAAGCGAGAGGGCCGCAAAGATTCGTAATCCGAGGGTTTTGTGGTGGAGGAAATGACCTAAAATTTGTAAGATATGAACCTGAGGGCATGGTTGTTGATGGATAGAAATTGTCAGGCTTTAGGTTGAAAAACGAAAATTCCACTGATGAAAGTTCATTATAAAAATTTTTTTGAAAATGGAAAAAATAAAATTCAACTATTTTTAAAAAATGTGGAAGTTTTGAAAACGCGTAATGCAGAAACAAAATCGCCATTTTAACTTTTCAATCAAAAATTTGATGAAATTTGGAAAAATAAATTTAGAAATTTCCAAGGCACCTTATAAAAATTCAAACCGCATTATGCAGAAACACCCCAGAAACTGTTGCTCTAAATTTTTTAGCTTTCTTTTTCCTTTTTTTTTGCTTTTCCTCTATAATTTTTTTTCAATATCTCCCAAAATTTCCAACTCACACTATAAAGCAAAGCCAGATCTTTGGCATATCGACAAATGGGTCCAACAGCCACTAAGGTCTTGATGTCTTCGCTATGGAATTCCGGGAAGATTCCGTTGAGCAAATTGGGAGTGGAGGTTGGTTTGAGTCCGTAAACTCCATTCAAAGCTGCTGGAATTCGAGTTCCGCCTCCGATATCGAAGACCACTCCGAATGGAGTTGCTCCGGAGCCATTTAGCGCTCCTTCTCCGCCGGCAGAACCGCCGGTGATGCATCTGAAATTGAGAAAATTTTATTTCCTGCAATTTTGAGATTTCTGAATTTTTCGAAAAATTTCGTCCAAAAATCGGTCATCATGACGTGTATTTTACTTTCTTAGGGCACTGCAGGATGAGCCAAGTCTTTCTCCTTGGATGGTCAACTCTTCCTCTCAAAATTCTTTTTTGTCAAGATTAATATAAATTTCTTTATCTTTCAATCTACATACATCGACAGGACAATAACTCCAAAAGTAAGTTAAATTAACCCTCTTTCTATATATGCAATGATTTTTTGCATTACATAAGTTTATCCTTGCGCACTGCAGGATGAGCCAAGTCTTTCTCCTTGGATGGTCAACTCTTCCTCTCAAAATTCTTTTTTGTCAAGATTAATATAAATTTCTTTATCTTTCAATCTACATACATCGACAGGACAATAACTCCAAAAGTAAGTTAAATTAACCCTCTTTCTAAATATGAAATGATTTTTTGCATTACATAAGTTTATCCTTGTACATTTAGCCATTGTTGCAGGTGTACAAATTTAGCTGAATGCTGTTCGTTCTTGCGATTCCATGAACGAAATTTGAAAGTCTTCCCCACAAAAGAACCGGCGTCGAGCCTTCTTCGTGCCAGAATTGTTTCAGCATGAAAGGACTTACACTTTTTTTGTTGATTCGATTTTCGATATTACACTAGGTACTTTTGTAAGTTTACGGCGAGATTAGGCCACGTTTTACGTCATTTAAGATCTACATGGACAATAAAACTTTATTTTAGCATTCTTAACGTCGTAACAGTGATTTCCCCCCTTTTATTGTCGTTTTTGATTTTTTTTTCAGATTTTAGGTATGGAAAAATTTTGATGTATCCGCGGCCATAGATGCGTATTAATACTTCGCAAACCATATTTAAAAGATCTCTGGTCGGTGTTAAAAATGTTTAGAACAGAATGATAGGTATTTGAGACTTTTTTAGATCCACGTTGTACTTGATCACTTAGACCCTAAGACATCTCAAACCCGGGTTTCAAAGAATATTTATGTTGGGGACGGTTTAGTAATGGCTCAGCTTTGTAGTTTTCCGGGTTTAATCTTCAAAAACATTAGATTTTGCCTGCAACTTGATAAAAGTACCTAGTGTAATATCGAAAATCGAATCAACAAAAAAACTGTAAGTCCTTTCATGCTGAAACAACTCTGGCACCAAGAAGGCTCGACACCGGTTCTTTTGTGGGGAAGACTTTCAAATTTCGTTCATGGAATCGCAAGAACGAACAGAATTCAGCTAAATTTGTATACCTACAACAATGGCTAAATGCGCAAGGATAAACTTATGTAATGCAAAAAATCATTGCATATATAGAAAGAGGGTTAATTTAACTTACTTTTGGAGTTATTGTCCTGTCGATGTATGTAGATTGAAAGATAAAGAAATTTATATTAATCTTGACAAAAAAGAATTTTGAGAGGAAGAGTTGACCATCCAAGGAGAAAGACTTGGCTCATCCTGCAGTGTAGGGTCTCAAAGTGTATGGATGAAATTATTTTTCACTTTAGAAAATTTTTAGCCTTTTTTCTCACCTCAAGTCATACGGATTGCATGCTCTCCCCTGCACTGTGCAATCTCCATCCCAACATAATCCAGCCGAGGATACGTTACTGTAGGCCAATGGGATCGCTCCAGCTTGCCGGAGCAATTTGACAATCGATGCGTCATCATGAGCCGGAGAAATACTCCGCCGATACTTCAGGCCACCCAGAACAACTTCATTTTTGATGTCAAAACAATGAGGTATTGTGAAAGGGATGCCGAGCAGAGGTTTCGAGAGGTGGAGCTGAAATAAAAATTTTAGAGGTTGATATCATTGGTTAACAAGGAAATTGATCGCTTTGCGATACTAAGGAATCTCTGAAATTTTGAAAAAATCGTCTTTATAAGACAAAAATTAATCCCCAAAATTTTAATGCTTTGCAGATCTCCTTCCAAGTTTTCACAAAACTTTCTGCATAGCCTCAAATTGAATTGCTAAAATTTTTAGGACGGTCTTTGCAAGGAGAGCTGGGATATTCAACAAACTTTTCAAATCAAAGGTTATGGAAAATGAAGAGAGACAGTCATAGAAAAAAACGTTTCAGCTACGCCTTTATTAATTTTATGCTGAAAAAAATTATTTTTTTGTGGAAATATTGTAATCTATCATTTAAAAAATGCCAATTTTTGCTTTTAAAAATTTTAAAAAAATATATTTTTTACATCTTGGAAATTTTTGATCCGTAAAGCTCGATTATTGCTGCAAGACATGTGCAAAAAGACTCCACAATCTCTCCGCAAAATTATTTTACGGCTACACCAGACATCCTAAAAATTTTAAATACATATATCTCAACGCCCATATTTTACCTCTCGATACTCATCGCTCTTTTGATTCAGATGCCTCAAATACTGATCGTGTTGTTTGGCCTCGTACCAACTCTCGTCGCCAAAGATTCTGACCGCCGCATTCAGCTCTCCGTTCACCGAATCCAGCCGCCGAAGATACAAATGGACCATTTCTGTTGCGTTTAGCTGGAACACAAAGATTTGCAAAGTAATTTTGAACAGAGTAATTATATAAAAGACAGGATGAAGCTCGTATTTTACCTCCAACTTTCGTATCTTCTCGGTGAGCTCTGTGATTGGTGTGTTGACAATGACATTGGGGCTGGTCGGCTCTAGTAAATTTCGTTTTGGTTGGATTCGTCGGATAGAGCGGGCGTAGGCGCGGACGAAGAAATTTTGGGCTCTCTCCTCCATTTTCTAAAAGATATTTTTTTCAAAACTTAAAAATCTTCTAAATAGCTTGTAGTTTAAAGAAACAACCGAGGTTTTTAGGGTGAAAATTGCAAAAATTTTAGCATTTACTGTTTCCATAAAAAAACTAATTTTTTCCCACAGGAGATGGCAAAGATCTGCCCAAAAAGTGATTTTATCTGTGAATGAGAGCCAAAAAATAATTTTGTCTAAATGGTTTGTTACACGGAGGTCCATTCTGGCATGATTTTAAAGGACCCCACCAACTACATTTGAATCGAGTTTTTACGGCTTGGAGGTGCGCCTCGCCAAAAGTTGCGAAAATCCCGCGAAAAAAATAAATACAAAAAATAATCGAGAATTTTTCTCGAAAATGCAAAATTGAAGAAAGTTTGAGCTAGTTCATGTTCCAAAGTTGCTAAAAACGCTTCTTGTTCACGTGGATCCTGCCGACACTCATTCGGATGCTCTTGGGGAAAGTCTCATGTAAGTTTTTCTTGGTTTTTGCTTGGTTTTTCACGTTTAGGTAGTAGTGAAGGATCATGTACAATATTTATGCGGTTGTTCCAAAAAACAGCACATGAGCAGCCTTGAGGAGCAAGTGTTGGACTCAAGGCTCGTGTTGTGTCCATGTTCTTGCTTGTTCGGGCTGTTTTTGCCCATTTAGAGGTGTTTTATATGTTGTTTTAGTCAAGCTTTCAATTTCAGAGTTGTTCAATCGCCTGGAACACGATCCATGGAGATGAAGGAACCAGCGTGTCGACATTCATCTGTAATTATATCTAAATATGTTTCAAAATGAATATAATTAATCTTGTAATATATCTTTTATTACATAACACATCAATAAAACATATTAATCGTGAAGTTTTTGTTCAATATGCTGGTGTACAACCCGTTTTCGTTTCCCTCGCAGAGCCATTGATTCGCGAAGACAAGTCCCAGTCTGAAACTAAATGCATAGGGGCTGAGAAATTACGTACCGAAAATTTTAGCAAAAAAGTAAATAACACATTATCTTACATGAATATCCCATAGATAACGTCCCTGACTCGAATCTTGATGCCAAGGAATTTGAATGAAGAGAATTCTTCTTCATGCATCGCGTTCTCGGCGATTGAACAACTCTGAAATTGAAAGACTTGACTAAAATAATATAAAATATCTCTAAATGGGCAAACACAGCCCTAACAAGGCAAGAAAATGGAATACACACAAGCCTTGAGTCCAAAACTTGCTCCTCAACATTTCGTTCGGGCCGTTTTTCAAAAGAAAAGCCGAAATATTGTGCAAGATACTTCACTCCTACCTAAACGTGAAAAACCAAGCAAAAACCAAGAAAAACTTACATGAGACTTTCCCCAAGAGCATCCGAATGAGTGTCGGCAGGATCCACGTGAACAAGAAGCGTTTTTAGCAACTTTGGAACATGAACTAGCTCAAACTTTCTTCAATTTTGCATTTTCGAGAAAAATTCTCGATTATTTTTTGTATTTATTTTTTTCGCGGGATTTTCGCAACTTTTGGCGAGGCGCACCTCCAAGCCGTAAAAACTCGATTCAAATGTAGTTGGTGGGGTCCTTTAAGTCATGGGGTACCAGAAAATATTCGTTAACGACAGGTTATGCTGGACAGGAGTTTGTTGTGCAGAGGTTTCCTTGTGGTCGACAAACTTTTTTCAGCCCTACTCTCCTCATTTCTCACAGTATCTCGTCCTCAAAAATGGCTGAATATCTCAGAATTCAAAGTAAAATTTGTATATTTAATCTATAATTTGAAAAGATGCATAAAATAACGCTCATGCCACAATGCAAAGCTGCCTTTGGAGCCACATTTTGATGACAATTTACAGGCACATCCAACAAAAATCCAAAAATATCAACACTCCCAATTTCGAGATTATAGTTCAGCAAGATTGTTTACTAGTCGGGACAAAAAGTCCTGATAATTTTGCACTGTGCGGATTTGAACGTTTTGGGATGTCGCTGCGAAAATCGCGAAAAAAAGTGTTTTGCACGGTGCATTTGACCCAAAAAGTGCATTTGCACAGTGCATTTTTGTTTGTTTTTGCCTTACGTCGCGCGCGATTCCCCATTTTTCGGAGCGACAAATCGTTTTTTCAGAGTGCGACAAAAACCGCGCAAAATCCGCACGGTGCAAAATTATCAGGACTTTTTGTCCCGACTAGTACCACTCTCCAGTCCAAAATCCACCCCTTCAAAATACACCCCCAACAATCTGCACTCGAAATTAACGTAGGCACAATTGGACGTCAAAGCTTCCCCTTCTGGGCGATTAAATTGTAATAAACAAATTAATTCCAAGGCTAATATGATTATCGGATATGGCTGAGAACACAGGGCGGAAGTAAAAATGACAAGGATTAGGTTTAGAGGGCATTTCGGATGCAAACGGGGCCGGAAATACGATTTTGACGGTGTTGTAGAAAATGGGGGCGAATCTTGGAAATTTTGAAAAATTTTAATATTTCAATAAAGATATCAAATTTTCAATATTCAAATTCAAAATTTGGGTATTCAAAAATGAATATACAAAAGTTTGAACTTTGAAATTAAAAGATTTTTTAACGAAATACTGTGTCAAAAATTCAAAAATACCAAAAATTACTAACCAAATTTTTAAATTTTCATATTCAAATTCACTCTAAAAATTTCAAAATCCATTAAAACTTTTGGAATTTTTTATTTATTACTCATTTTCCCCCATTAAAAGCTCTGAAGCGAACGATTTCTGAAGACCTTGTTGCTCATCAGACTCCTTTATAAAGCGTTGCGATCTTGAGTCACAATTGTCAGAGGGCCTGTCATTTGCGACTCACAACGAGCTTGTTGGATGAGTCATCATATTCAAGGGATTTTTTTCATTTTCCATTCATGATTTGCAATTTCGAAAACGTAATGATGGGGCATTCAAAAATTTTGGATGACACTTTCAAGTTTCATATGTCGACAACAGGATATTTGAAAAGTTGAAAGGAAATGGAGATATTTCAACATGATGAGCCAGTTTATTGACCGGGGAATTATTCGCATATGTTGCTTTCAGATTTGCTTAAAAATTTGCAGATGTATTCTAACAGGGGGAGTGCTCCAAATTCAGATTTTGATAGAGCTGGGCGAAAGTCTAGGCAAGTCTTTAAAGACGCCGATTTCTGGCTCGCGCTGCGCAGAAACGACCCAGATTTTTTAGGCCGAAAGTAGAAAAAAATGTAACGCTTTTTGGCAAGCTTTGACATGAACAGCTTCATATATTTTCCTAATGTAAAAGGTAATATCGTCACAAACAAAATTTTTTCAGCTAGCAAAATTATGGCCAAAAAGTGTTTTCCTCTCTAACCGCTCTCCTCGTTTCGCGTACTCTTTCGGTCACAAAAATTGTTGAATATCTCGGCTGCAGCTGCAAAGCGCGAGCTAAAATTTTAAAATTTTCAAGGATTGCTGTCTGGCTTTCACCCAAAGTGCTCGCAAGGGCGGGCCCACACTTGCGGGCAACCACTTTGCGGGCAGCTTAAAAAACCACGGAGATTCTGCGGACATGTCATGAAATCAGCCAAAATTTGCTTTCAACTCTAAATTGAAACGATGGTCTTGACGGTTAGATGTTGCGGATTAAGTTTCCAGGTGTATAAGTGTCTTGTATAGTTATCATAAGCTTATCCAGGCATTTTTCACCATTTTTTGAAAACAAACTCCCATAACTTTGAAAGCAGTGGATGAATTTAATAGATTTGTGTACTTATGAGTACCAGGGAGTTGTCAATGTAACATTTCTATTGTACTACGTAGATTACGGGAGAGATATCGTAATTCTAATCAAAAAATGTCGGCTGCTCGCAAAGTGGTTGCCCGCAAGTGTCGCGGCGCCCTCGGAATGAACCAATAAAAAGAATTTCTATGCAAGCTTTTGTTGTAAGAAAGTGCATTTCTTTTTTTTTCTTCAATGAAATTTTATGCCAAGCTTCCTGAAAGTTTCGAATCTCGATTATCTCTTTCAGCTACAAACAATTTCAACCATGCAAAAGAATATTACAGAATTTCATCATCCTCGGTAAGATGAAAGGAGAGATAAGCCGGTTTTTCTCTGCTGGTGCCGCTCTTCATTCCCAATATTATCGGATCCCCAGATTACAGAAAAAAATGTAATTGATCTGCCAAAACAAGCGTTTCATTTCTCATTCGTTTTCACAACACTTGCCAGTGCTGGTGGCAGATTTTGTTTTACCATATTTTATGACTTTTTTACTTTAGTGAAGCCCTAAAAACTGAGATTTTAAATCCCGTTAGATAAGTGTAATAATGACGTCATCATGGTGTTGGGAAAGTGATCGCCATTCTCAAGAATACCACTTGATTCGTTGCGTAAACAAAAAAAGATTCAAACTTGGGAATGGGAGCCAAATTCACCGGACTTGATCTGCTTTATTTCGGGGACCCGCAGAGATTGGAGAAGCTGATTGGGAATTGGGCGAGCCTTCTCAGCATGCGTACTTTTAGGGATGGAGCTTTTTGTAATTTTTTTGATTTCTCTCGATTTAAAAACCGGTGTTTATAAGTGCGTATTTTACAATGATTTGACAGAAAATTTTTTCATTTTTTGTTTAACTATTTTACATCATTACTTTTTTAATCACAGTCAAACCTCCGCACAACAAATAGCAATTGAGAAAAAAAATTTAGTTTGTTATAGGTTTCGTTATACGGAGGTTTATTTTAGCCTAAAATTGACATTCGGTACCTGTAAAATTGTTCGTCATAAAAAGTTTTTTTTTGTATGGGAGTTGTAGAGAGACTCCACTGCTCATGAATGGCAATAAAATGACACAAACTCTTGTACAACGATACGTGTCTATATCAAACTTTCTTTGTTTTTCAGAAGATCCACTGAATATTCGATACCGTGAAATCCGTATTCTACATTCATTTTTTCGCGCTTCTAATTTCACTTTGGCGATAATTGTATTGATGACTAAAAATTTATCTTTCAGCTTCATGGCCTCTGTCAACGAAAATTCGGCCCGATTTGTTCATTCGCCTCAAGGATGTTCAACGAATCCTCCAGCCTTGATAAAAACTGATCTTAAAGAAAACGCAAGGGAAAATGCTCACCAAAGCCATGATGTTACTGGGTAAGTTGAGAAAAACTTTTTGATATCACTAAGAAAAAACTTTTGCTTTATGAATGCCGTCAGTGTCAACGCAATGTCAATTTCTGTAAATTTTGAGGTGAAATCTTTCTGATGACCCATTTTCAACAATAAAATAATTTATTATGGCAAGGCGTGATGTCGTATTTTACAATTCTAAGATTACGGACAACCTTCTGTAAAACGAATCGCAAGTGGCTAAAAAATTTATTTGTTATAGAAAGGTGTCGTTAAACGGAGGTTTTGCTGACTTTTGTGACGGTCAAACTGTTCGTTATACAAATTTTTGTTATATGGAGTTTTTGTTGCACGAAAGTTTGTTGTACAGAGATTTCATCTACAAAATAGCACAATCCCCCTATTTCATCCAACTCTGTACAACAAACCCCCATACAACAAAAACTGTCTAAAGCGAACAATTTCACAGATCGTCAAGATCAAAATAAACCTCCGTACAACAAAAATTTTCTATAAAGAATAAATTTTTCGGTCCCTTGCGGTTCGTTGTACAAAGGTTTCTGCTATATTTTTACTTTATTTCCAATGTCATTTCAATTCTTCTCTAATCGTCCCTTTACTCTATAATAAAGACCTAATACAAATAAATTTTTCTTTTCAGTCCCCAAAAATACACTACCATCCACACAGAAACCACAACCATCGTCATGCCTGTCCCTCAAGAAGGGGTGAGAATGATTTTTTACGACGACCCAGCTTCATCGTCATCCGAAGACGAAGCCTCGATAAAATCGTCGTCAGAGTCGGAAAGTGAGACCTCGGATTTTACGGATTCAGAGTCCGATTCTTGTAGTTCGCCGCAGAAAAAGATGATCAAGAGATCGTGATGCTTTCACATTTATTTAGGCTCATATTGTAATTGTATGTTATGTTTAATATCGTTGTTATTATATTTGAAATTGCTATGTTAAGAAATCCGGTGTTTCCAAAGATAAACAGGCTAATATTGAGTTGGATTTGCTGCAAATTTTCTGCTCTAACAACGCAGATATTCACCATGACATAACAGAGAAAATTGGCGGTATGTCTTTTATAATACGGGGTTTTTAAACGCCATGTAGGCAAAAAAGAACAGAAAATCGAGGAATGTGGAATAAAAGGTGGCAAAATTTCTCTGATTTGTAAATTTACTTGCACTTGACGAGTAATATTTACTACTCAAAATGCATCAACATCAAGTTCAAAAATTGGCAAAAGACCCACGAAATACATCAGATACCCTCTTCACAACAGCCAAGTTTGTTTTTGAAGAAAACTGCATTCCGTTACAGACGGTTTTAACTCCTTTTAGCATCACCTAAAACAAGGTCGTCTAAAGTATAATAAATAAAGCGAACGGACGTTCATCATCAAAAAATGCTGCCGTACAGGCCTTTTTTCCTTGGCAAGCATACCCTTCATTCCTCCCATTGCCTAAATTAACAAAAATTAAATTTTGCAATGTCAGCGTTTTATCGTATAACATGTCGCCTTAACGTTTTATCTGATTTTTGACGTCTGAATCCTTTCTTAGACGTTCTCCCTAGTTTAACCCACTGTTTTATCATTTTTAGTCATGTTTTTCGATAATATTGCCAATCTTTCTCCATGTTTTGTCACCAATGCCATGTATAATATCGGAAAGTAAAAATTTTCTCTTTAAACCCTTCAGAAACGCAAATTCCTTTATAAACAGGCTCAGGATCTTCCCATTATGGCCCTTTCGTGGTCACAATTCATCAAAGGCCCATTTTCCAACTATAAATTTTTCATCGTATAACATGTCGCCTTGGCCTTTTCCTTGAGTTTTTGTGATTCTCAGAATCCAAATGTGTTCTCAGGTGTTTGAGGTATCGTAATCAGCTTTTATAAAGTTTTTTAATCAGCTTTTCTTTCCTCCATTTCCGTTTTTGGACATCAAGGTCAAGTGTAATATCCGGAAGTCTAAATTTTCTCCCTAAACCCCTCAAAAATGTAAAATTCTTTGCAAAAAGTCTCCATAGATTATAATCATGGCTCTTTTTGCTTACCAATTGACCCCTGCTGTCTATTTTTCATTGTCTGATCACCCATTTCCCCTCTTCTCGGCTATTTTTGTTTTTTGATAACCTTTCCCAATCTTTTTCCCTCTCGATTTTATCTTTCCCCCTCGATTTACTTCCTCCAGCTTCTAATAATCCCCAAAAACTTTTGTAAATTCACGTATTTCGACGGGGTTTTTATTATTTTCTTCCCTTTCAACGATGTGGTCGATAAGAAATGGGAGTCGGCAAGTGTAAGTTCACTTTTTTTTATCGTTTGATCTTTTCGTAGCCTTTTTTGGTCACCAGTTTACTGTTTGGTTAGGTTTGAAGGGAACGTCGCAAGAACTTTGGGGAATTTAATTTATACCTAAAATAAGGTCGGAAATTTTCAGTGAAGGTAAAATGCGGAGTGAAACGGCCTTTGAAAGATGATTAAAGCAATATTATGCAAGAAAATGCGCGTTCCCGTCTTATTTTTGATCAAATTCGGGACAAAATCGACTTTTTTTGAAATTTTAGGTATCTTTTGTCTAAAACAATATTTTCTTGGTATAAAATAGCGTTCTTATGGCGATCTATGGCACTTAGCACTAATCCGGTCGCAGTGTATACGCTATAGACGCAAAATTTTCTGATTTTACTAGGATTTTTGAGAATGTGTTATTTTAGGTAACAGCAAATTTTTGAAAGGTCAAGTTCTCGCCGAGAATAGGTAAAATACGAATGGTTTTCTTGATACGGTTCATAATATCTTTTATGTTCAAATTTGAAAAATATAGGGTTTTGAAATTTTAGGTACCTTTTGTCGAAAACAATATTTTTTTGATAAAGACTGTCAGCTTATAGCGATTGACTGCCTCAGTTTACTTTTTACCGGCATGATAAGGATTCAGGATGTAAAATTTACTGGTTTTAGAAAGCTTTTTGAAAAAAAATATTATTTTAGGTATAAAAATTCTAGAATATAACAAATTTTGTTCATATAGGTAAAATACGAGCTGGAAAAGGCCATATTTTTAATTCGAATACTTAAAACAATCTCTGCATAGGCTTATTTCCAGATTCTGCGCCATGTCCTCGCACCCGCAGCAATTCGTCGTTAAAACGGCGGAGATGCGCCGTTTCGTGGTGGATTGCATGAAAGCCGTCGGTGCCAGCGGCGATAATGGCGGGAAAGTGGCGGATCTTCTGATTTGTGCCGATCTCCGGGGCCATTATTCGCACGGCCTGAACAGATTGAGGATTTACATGGAGGACTGCAGAAGTGGAAATTGCGCGGCAAATGCTGAACCTAAAGTAAAATTGGGGTTCAATTTTGTTGTATTTGTGGCCTAGAATTAGTTTTTGGTGTGATAAATTTATGGAATTTCGAAATGTAATCAAATTTTGCATTTTCGAGAATTTCCAAAAAATCCGTCATTGTGACATCTTCTTGGACACACCCTGTTCCTAGAAAAAGAAATAAATATATCTTACTGAAATATACAGGTCATTTCAAAAATTTTCACGTAAAATACGACCACATACCATCATTGTTGCTATTAGGATGACGGATTTTTTGGACATTCAAAAATTGCGCTGAAATTTTACAAATTTGCTTTTCAGATTCTGAAGCAAAAAGGAGCCACGGCTTGGGTGGACGGTCAGAATGGACTCGGAGCCGTAGTTGGGCATTTTTGCACGGATCTGGCCGCGAAATTGGCCAAGGAGCACGGGATTGGATGGGTGGTTTGTAAGGGCTCCAATCACTATGGAATTGCTGGATATTGGCCATTACTACTCAAGAAGGAGGGACTGATTGTAAACTGTTTTAATTTTTATAATTTTTTCTGATTTTTGTTTTGGCGAGCTGCGCCCCAGCTTGAGAAAATTTTGGGATTTGAAAAATATTTTGACAAAAAATTGATGCTAAAATTTCAGGGGATGTCAGGAACGAACACTTCGCCTTTGGTCTTTCCAAACAGGGCGGCACAGCATGCCTTGGGTACGAATCCATTAGCAGTTATTGCTGGAGGTCATGGAGAAGATGATTTTGCTCTGGATATGGCAACTTCTGCGGTTGCATTGGGAAAAATAGAGCTGGCCGAGCGGAAAGGCGAGCAAATTCCACTTCAGTGGGGTGCGGATAAGGATGGGAAAGCCACTCAGGACCCTGTGGATGTAACTCAACGAGGAGGCGGACTTTTGCCTCTAGGAGGCGCTGAAGAGACAGGTATGGATTGTAATTTCGTAATATAGCATTTTAAGACATTGTTGACATTTTAGGATAGTTGACAGCTCAATTTATCAATATAAATTATATTATACCTGACTATATTATTTTAGGTGGATATAAAGGAACGGGTCTTGGAATGATGGTAGAACTCTTCTCAGCCATCCTCAGTGGCAGCACCTTCGGGAAGAACGTTCGAACCTGGAGGGATGTGGACAGAATCGCCGATTTGGTAAAGATTTTTATATTGTACTTGATGGTTTTAGGCAGAAACGGAAAAAGATGTCGATCAATTAGTGATAAATATTTGCAGGGGCAATTTTTTGTCGCAATCGACCCAGAATGCTTTGCTCCCGGCTTTTCTGATCGCCTTCAGGACTTTATCGATCAAACTCGAGGACTGCGACCCGTCGATCCCGCCAAAAAAGTGTTGATCCCTGGAGATCCAGAGAGAATTAATATTGAGAAGAGCGAAAGCGTTGGTGGAGTGATATACGGTCAGAAGCAATTGGATCATCTGGTAGGTTATTTTGAACGGTTTTGGATTTGGAATTTGAATTTCCCGCTTTGTTTTTAAAAATTTGGCATTGTGTTGCAACTGAAAAAACAGGGTTTTATGGTAAAATACGGCGTTGCAATACCGAAATTTTTGAGAAGAGATTGTTTTTAGTCGAAAATCTGGGTCTCCCGCCGATTTTTCGAAATTTTGGCATTCCGTTTCAACCCTGAATTTTTGCAATTTTCAGCTGGACCTTGGAAAAACTCACAAAGTGCAGCCATTTACTTACAATCCTGTCAACTGAGACCGCCATTTCCATCGAAAGAATTCTATTTTAGCTGGTAGAACTTTTTTTATATCGATAATTTAGGATAAATAGTCGAATAAATACGTGTGAAATACCATGATGTCGCTTCGATTTGCTTCCAAAATCTCGCTTCTTTTACTCCCCGCCACTTCCAACCATTTCTGATTATCTTCTGTTATCGACCGGTCGGGTCGATCGGTTTTTGCTCCGAAAATTCCCTTTCATGGATTCGACAACCGGCTGGGCTGAGAATGTCACCGTAAACACCACCGCATACGATGCCTTTACAGTAAACACCACCGTTTCCGATGTCTTCACAGTGAACACCACCGTCTACGATGTCTTCTCGACGAAGGGGCCGCTTCCCAGGCCGACGATTGACGTTGGATTGAAGGATTTGTATGTTTTGCAGTGGTACGACCTGCTTTTTACGGTTTTGCTGATGTTCTGGACAATGGTAAGTGGGAGTTTTGGGGGTGTGAGGATTCTTTATGGGACAAATTGTTGGTTTTATAGCTTTATTTCTTCAAAAATCCGTGATTTGGCGGTAAATTTTTAAATTCCAGAAAATCCGTCATCGTGACATCTCTGATGACGGATTTATGGATATGAAATTTGAATAGAAGTATTTTTTGAGGTGTACAGACTGGTTTTGCAGAGTTTGAAGCACATACGATGAAGTTATTATCCATTTTTGGCTATAGGATGACGGATTTTTTGGAAATTTCAAAAAAATTTGAAAAAAATTTTTTGCTTATTTTTCCGCCGAGTATTGTGAACAATACTTCTTTAATCGATTGAAGATAAATTTGATGAATTTTCAGGCCATTTCCATAGCTTTCATCAAGATATACACCATGATCAATGGCCCCCCAAGCATTCCGTACGCGCAAAGCACAGTGACCCCGTTGTTGGCCGGCGAATTCGACGGTCCCTTGGATCTGCTGACTTACATCGCTTTAACTGCGTACATAATGAAGGTGAAACGGCGAAATGAACAGATACGCAGGATATCCGGAACCCGAAACGCAACAACCCCTACTGAAGACACCAGAAATACAATAAACACAGTTTGATTATGTTTGGCGGATTTTTTGGGGAGTATGTGAAAACAGAGTCACAGTTTTGGAAGAAAAAAGTTATGAGGAAAAAAGTAATTTTCAAAACAATTTTTTTTTTATTATAAATCTCAAAAATTTGAAAGCTTCGGATTTTTTTGAAATTTTTTGTATGAACGCTATAGTGCTTCTAAATCTCATCTCTGAAAGTTTTAGCTCGAAATTTCCACCTGCTACTGAGATAGACGGTCTTTTTTCGAGAGAGCACACAAAATGAGGAGAGACGGTCATGCGAAAAAACGTTTTTCGCTGTTAACTTTACGAATTTCCGTCGGAAAAAAATGATTTTTTGTGGAGTTATTTTACTTCTCATCTGTAATAGATTCTGATTTTTTCAAGGTCAAAATCAAAAAAAAAATTTTTTTAATTTTTATTTCTGGCATAAAAATTTCAAAGGTTTTTCTGTCAATCAAAGTTTAAAAACCCCAAAAATCGAGTTCAATTTTGCTCTTTTTCATTCAAAAAATCGAAAAAAAATCCCAAATAAAAAATTTCAAAATCCAAAATATTACAGTCTTTTTCCGAGAGAGCACACAAAATGAGGAGAGACGGTCATACAAAAAACCCTTTTTCGGCGGTAATTTTACGAATATCCCGTTGGAAAAAAAATGATTTTTTGTAGGATTATCTGACTCCTCACCTGTAATAGCCACTGAATTTTCAAGACGAAAAAAGATCAACGTTTTTTACAAAAATTGTTACTTTTCGTCCAAAAAATCGCCCTAAAGCCCTAAAATTGCACCCTTACCCCACCATTCACTTCCTCGTCCAGAATACCGGTCCCCTGTGCAATGCCTCATCAATGTTCGTAACTAAAAATCGTTTTGCTCGCATATGATTTTAATTGTTTTCCCTCCGAAAATTATTTATTTTGTTCCACTGGCATCGTTTCGCCTCTTGCGAACATAAAGAAAGGGAAAGTAAAATATACGTTGCAAGCTATGTGGGTTGCAAGGTTACTCAAATACAAACCAATTTGTTATTTTTTTCGGAGAGAGCGCGCGACGCCAAGGTTAATGTTACGGTAAATGAGGTGGGCATTCAAATTGAGGGGAATTCCAGTGGTTTTTTCGAAATTTGCAGGGGGAATTGACGATGTTTTCGACAGAAAATGGGATAGAGGCTATTTTGCGGGTTTTCGGTCGAAATTTGAAAACAAAAACATTTTTTTGAAATTTTTTATTTGGGATTTTCGATTTTTTGAATGAAAATGAGCAAGATTGAACTCGATTTTTCGATTTTTTAAACTTTGATAGACAGAAACCTTTGAAATTTTTATGCCAGAAATAAAAAATAAAAAAAAAAAAAATTTTTTTTGATTTTGACCTTGAAAAAATCAGAGTCTATTACAGATGAGGAGTCAAATAACTCCATAAAAAATCAATTTTTTCCGACGGAAATTCGTAAAGTTACCGTCGAAAAAGGTTTTTCGCATAGCCGACTCTCTTCATTTTGCGTGCTCTCTCGGAAAAAGACTGTGTAATATCTTGGATATAGGTGCAAATTGGGAGCTGAAATTTTTAGAAATTGATATATGACCTACATAAAGTTTGTAGGCAAAATTTAAAGCAAATTTGAAAATTTAATTTTTTTCGATTTAAAAAATTTTTTTTGAAAAAAAAACTGTTGCGTGGAATACAATTATATATCTGCAAGTAAAAACAAAAAAAATTTCAATTTCTAAAACAGGATCTCCGTCTCTTTATTAGCTCAAAACCCCAGAAAACGAAGAGAAGAAGTAATATAATTAACCTCATAAACAATATCGCCGAGTTAAAAAAAAAATCTTTTTTTTGTCTTTCTAGATGTGTTTTCCCATCTCAAAAGACTGTTTACAATTTTAATCCAATGTTATCTTACAATTCCCCCCAAACTTTGCACTTGTCATTGTCGATTTCCCGTATCTTCCGCGAATACAATGGATAAAAAAAGGTTGTGTCAGAAGGTTTTATCGGAGAAGAGTTTCCTCACCTCGCTGCGATTAGCTTTTGATCTCGATGGAGACTATTTATTACTGTGTTTTTTGTGCAAATGCAATATTTTGCAGCCCCGACGAACTGTTGATGTGTTTTTTGAATTCACAAGGGAAGTACTCCAACTGCGACGCCCGGATTTTCTTTAAATTTTGCACACATTTTGGGCATAGGTCGCATATCAATTGCTGAAAATTTTAGCTCGTGCTTTGCAGGCACAGTCGAGATATTGAGCGGTCTTTGTCGCCGAGAGAGTACGCAAAATGCGGAGAGCGGTCACGGAAAAAAAACATGTTTTTGGACATATCCAATTTCGTGCTGAAAAATGGTTTTTTTGTGGAAAAATTATACTCTATGCGGTAGAAATAGCTATAAAACTTTTTATGCCAAAATTCGCAAGAAATGTTATGACTTCTTCGACTTTCGACCTAAAAATCCCCGTCAGTTCTGCAAAGCGCGAGCTGGGAATCTAGCATATTTCTTAGAAGTCTCATTATTTTCCCGGCAGACTGATAAACCAGAATTTTACCACCATTACGTACATGCAAGGCTCAGCTATTTGGGTCTCGGCTCTTGGATCAGTTTGAAACAGATTTTTTGTTTGTGTCGAAATGAAGAATTGGGGTCCCAACGACGTTCGGTACGAGCTTCTGCAAATATTTTCATAGGGTTTTATGTTATAATTTGCCCACGAGAGACCTGTGAAAATAAATTTTTAAGGTAAAATACGGATTGGCATTATCGGCCCAGAAAATCCCACAGTCAAAAACTCCCAATCTTTTAGCAGTTCATTTTTTCAGCATCTTCAAAAAATATTTTTAAAATTATGCATACGGACCCAAGAACCTCCAAAAACGGAATGTAGGTCAAATCTGTATCCAACTTTTTGCATTCGTACTATTCATTTTCTCGCCATTGACTACTCCTCAATGTCATTGTGTCCCTCTAATCTTTTCCTCGTTTTTTTCAACGTTCTTGTAGTCGAAAAAGCGAACGTCGAACGCCTCTTTTTGTACTTTGAATATTTGTTTCATCCGATTAGGGATCAAAACTCCCCTTTGACTCCCGATTGTACGACATCCCACTGAGCGCGGTGATTGTTTCCGTCATAATATTATTCTTGTTTCTCGACTATTCAATGTGAGTTGGAGACGGCCACGCCCTCTCAAGTTTTAGTCGAGTTTTTGTCAAGATTTTGGGAAATAAAATTGGGGATGAGGGTCGGGAATTGCTGATTGAATTGGGGAAAGATAAGGCGAGAGTGGGTCGGGGTTACGGTAGATGATGACTATGATTTTTTCGAAATGATTTATGGGGGTTATGGATTTGTTTTTGGCCACTAATCTTTGTGATGTCATTACGGTATGCTCTGTTTATAACAAATTGCAATGCTAGGTCCACAGATCACATAAGTAAATTTTACCGGGGAAGTTTACCAAGTGTAACGTTCATGTTTTGTTTACATTTTGCACACATATCAGGTGCTGGCCATATATCAATTCCTAAGAGTTTTAGCTCGTTCTTTGCAAGGCCAGCCGAGTTATTCCACAATTTTTGCGGCCGAGAAAGTACGCGAAACACGGAGAGTGGCCATAGGGAAAAACACTTTCTGACCATATCTTTGCCTGTTTCGTGCAGAAAAAATGATTTTTTGTAGAAATGCTACGGTATAAATAGGCATTAAACTTTTCATGCCAAAATTTGCAAAAAAAGTTTCACGTTTTTCCAACTTGCAAACTTAAAATCTCGATCGTTTCTACAAAGCGCTAGTCAGAAGTGGCGCATATGTATTAGAAAGATTTTTTCTCAATTTACCGCAAGTTTCATCAAAATTTGAGCGTCGAACTTGGCGTACTTCTCCTGTTAGGTCAAAATGAAGCTCCGTACAACGAAACCTTTCTATAACAAACTAATTTTATGATCTTTTCCGATTGAGGTCGGAGTGTGTTAGAACAACGCCTATTTTCCGCCCAGACAAGCCCCCTTCATCGACAGACATATACACATATATATATATATATGTACATATTTTACTGCGTTCTTGTCAAACTTTTACCCTTAAACCCATTAAATTTGCGATCACAACAAGTGTCATCAAACTTACAAACCCTCCTCTTACAACTTTGAACCCTTACCTATTACTTTTGTCGCATTTTTTATTCGAAATTGAAAGGAAATAAGAGCAAGGTCATTCCAAACATTATGGTTATTATGGTCTTTTGGGTGGGCGTAACATGATATTATACTCTTGTAAACCCTTTTTCGTGATTCTTACTTACTCAAAACTATTTTCACAACTTTTCTGTACTCGACACTTTTTATTATCATCTCTTTTTTAAAGACTTTTTGCCAAAAATATATGACTTTTGCCTAAAGTAATATAATTTTTTGCAGTTATGGCCGAATATCGTCTGTTATTGCGGTTTGTTTTGGCTGTGATTGTGTTTACTGCCAATTCGGAAGTGATTGATCGAGATACAAGTGATGTGGATGATGTTGGAGATGTTTTGGAGCAGCTAAATCATCAGAAAAGAGAGTCGAATCCGGTGAGAAATTCAAACTTGGAGATTGAAAGAGAGCAGTTGAGGAGGGTCCAGGTGAGTTATTAGGCGTTTGAGAGCCTGTACGACATAGAACATGAATAAAATTTTTTTATCTTCTACAATTTTCAGGAGCAACTGGACCGCAAATGGCCTCAATACCACTCGGAAGAACGCTTTGACCACATCCGAACCACCACTTCCTCTCCTTTGGCCTCACAAACCGAAGTTCTGGCAAGCCCTCAGCGGACGGAAATTGATTTCAATCAAGGATTACGTCCAGTTGTTGGGCATCCAAATCAATTCAAGAGATTTCGCGACATCCAAGGCAAGCCAGACGCAAAACATGCCGAAGGAATTGGAAAAGAGAACTTGGACGAAGAAAAAATCCGACAGCAAGCAATTGCTGATGAAGAAGATCAGCAATTATCTCATTTCATCAGCGAACTGAACAGTCAGATGAATAGGAAGTATTTGAACCAAGGAAATTCTGATGTAAAAGGCCAGAATCTCCAGAAATGGATGACAAATGGAAATCAGAATGGACCGCAAGGGCCTCCAATGAGACCGCAGGCTCGACAAAGTCAGCAAAACTTTCAAGGAGCAGGATTCAACTCCCAAAGTGGATTTCAAGGCCAAGCAACGAATTTCCAACAAAATAGAGAACAATTTCTTCAACAGCAAGGTCCTCAAGGGCCGATGATGAACTCTCAAAGGAACGCCAATCAAAACTTCCAAGGAGCCCAAGGACGTCAGCAAGGATTCCAAAGCCAGCCTTTCAATCCCCAGCCCGTTTCCAACCAGAATTTTCAACGAAATGGTCAGCCAATGAACTTCCAAGTCAATCAAAGAAATCTGCAACAGGGATTTCAAAGCCAGCCTCCGTTTACACGAAGGATTCCAAGTCAAAATTTCCAAGGTCAAGGAAATCGACCGCAAGTGCTTCAAGGCCCATTGGTAAATTCTCAGCGTACTGGGAGCCAGAATTTCCAACGAAATCAAGTGAATGGCTTTCAACCTTTGAACCAACAAGGATTTCAAGCCCAATCGACAAATTTCCGTTCCAATGGAGCTCAGCAAAGTCGCCAATCTTTCGCTCAGCCACAACAGACTCCGCAGCCACTGGACAGGCAAAATTTTCAAAGAAACGGAGCTCAGAATCAGCGTAGATTCCAAAGTCAGCCGTTGAATTTGCAGACAAACGGAGAACAAGGATTTCAAAGCACGCTACCAAATTTTCAACGGGCTTCTAACCAGAATTTCCAACAAAATGGAGGTCAATTCAGCCATCAACCAGCTACCAGGATCCCTCCTACTACTGGAAGTCCTCAGTTCTTTAATAATCAAGTTGAGTCTCAAAGATTTTCTCAGAATCAACAAGCTCATGTTGTTAATACTCGACAAGGCTTCCCTCAAGGGTTCGTTTCAAATAACCGTGCTCAACAAGCTCAGCAAGTCCAGCAAACGCCGTTTAATCGAGTCCAACAAAATCAGCGGGCAATCAATCAAGGGAACAGCAACTTCCAGCAATTGCAGACACTAAATCATCTGAAACGAACTGAACAACCGTCTTTTAGACAGAAAAGTCGACAGTCATTGCAACAAGTAGGGGCAACTCAAGTCCCTAGATTTGCTCCTCAACGGACGGGCCAGACAATTCAACCCGATGGATCTTTCCATCCGACAACTTCTCAGCCAGCTGGTCGATTTACAACGCGTCGTCAACGACCTCAATTTGATCAACAACGAAGAGTCAAGAGTCTGCCAAATCAGCAAATTCAGCAAAGACAAGGGCTTTCAACAAATGCCCCAACGAGACACAGTTTGGTCAGAACAACCGTTCATGGTCTGCCTGTGACTACAACTCCGATGTCGTTTACGACTGGAAACCCAAGACGGTCCAGTCAAAGCCCTTCGGCAAGACAGAGGTTGAGAACCCAGCCAACAACTCAGCGAAGACAGGCTGCAAATACGACAACAATCTCTCCATCAACATCAACTCAACGTCAAGTTCAGCCAGCCCGTCGAAGACAAGAAATAGGCCACCCGCGTCAACAGTTGAGAACCCAGCATCAGTTGCCAGCAGTTGTCAGCCGAAGCCACTCCCAGCTAGCGACCCCGCCAACTCTTCAACCAGCTAGAATTAGACGGCCAGCCAACCAAAATCAAGGGCAAAATCGACAGGTTCAAGGTTTTCAACGCCCCATAAATGCAACTCAAAGAATCCCCAAGGCATTTAGGACCCAACCAGCAACGATCCAACCGCATTCTGTAGCCAGAAATCAAACCACCACCCATCCATTGATCTTGAATCAGAAAAAGGGCCCAACTTTTGAAAAGAGTGTGTTGAAACCCGATAAAATTCAACGAATCCAGTTTGTTAACAACGTTGAGCGTCAGGAAAACACTACAGCAAGACCGAAGCAAGGACTCGTCAAGTTCAATCCAAGGGTTAACCGGCCAAATCAGGCAAATCGAGCGTCCAACTCAACCAATTTGCCGTCAAGTCCTGCTACAAACTTCTTCGGACAAGCTAGACCGGGAAAGATGACTTCAAGCACCTCGACCGGCCCAGTTAAACCCTCGACGAATTCCACAAGAGCTGTAGCCAATTTTACAAGGCCTCCAGCCAACATGACAAGAGCTACAACAACTCCTCGACCTTCAGGGAGGCGTGGATTACTTCAACCAGGAGTGGAAGCGCCGAATAAAAATCTTTCTACACCGCTTTCTACAGATCCCCGAGGCAAAGCGCTTGAGAAAATCGACCTCAAAGATGGCAAGCGAAGAGGACTGACTAAAATGAATGTTACGGAAACTGATCAACCAGTGAGAAAACCCCACAAAATGCGAAGGACTTTAACGGTCACGGAGAAGGCCAAGATCAATGACACCGTTCAACTGGGCGCTTTTCTAGTCCCTAAAGGCGTACCAAAAAACACGACGATATCAACGCCAAGAACGACTAATCACACGATGACGAAACACTCAAAATTAGAGAGCAATAATCATAATTCGACAAAGGAATTGCAAGTGAAACAGGAAGTGGAGAAAGCCAAGCTTTCGGAGACTGTAAAATTGGGTACTGTACTTGAGCCAGGCAATGAGAAATCGACAAAAAAGAATGGAACAACAACTCCTACGCCAAAGGAAGAAGAGGGGTTTGAGACAACTTTACTCGTCGATGTCGATTTCGAAGATGACGAGAAAAAACCAGCCAATAAAGGAATGAAGCCAAAGGGGGATGAGGATAAAAAAGAGAAAAAGAAACCGCAAAAAATCAAAGAAATGGAAAAGGAAAAGGACGAAAAGGAAGATCTAAGTGACGAAGAAGAGGATGAGGAAGATGTGGAAGATGAAGAGGATGCAAACAAACCAAAGAAAATTGGACAAAGAGCGATAAAGGAGCCTAGTTCTGAGGAGAAACATGAACTAAGCACTTTTAAAGGTAAAAAAGTTAACTGACACATCTGATGTCATGTGTAATACAATTTTAGATGAACTGCCAGTTCAACTATGTCACATTGATGCCGACTGCGCTCATGATAAGTTCAATCGGACTGTCTGCGAGCGTTACGGAGATATTAGGAACCAAGGAGCTTGCCGAAGCCGTAAGTCGGACTTCTGGATATTATCCTTGTTAATTAATAAATTTTGATGTCGGAAAAGGCTTTTAATAATTAATTGACGTTCAGCCTGGCCCTGCAAGACCGATGACGATTGCCCCACCTGCTGCCGAACTTGGAACCACGAGTCTAAGGAGAAACATTGTGGATATAGTAAGTTGACAGCTATTTATCACCAAAATTGTTAAATTAAGTTCAATACGAATAATAACTTCAAAAATCGTCAACATATGACTTATAAGGCCATAAAAAGTGATTAAAATCCCTTTTCAGACTTCCTCACAATGTATTGCGGCTATAATAACACCCGTTTCCCGGATGTTGTCTGCCCACAAAGGGATATTTGTCAACAAGGTTTTGATGGGTTTAGCACATGCCGAATCATTCTGGACGAACGCAACCTGGAGCAATACATGAGTTGTGGGTTTGGACCGACAATTCTCAAAAAACAGAATGGATTCTAAGTCGCGGATCCCCGAACCTTTGATTGCTTAAAATCTTGAGAAAAAATCGTTGAATTTTTGATTCTAATAAGTCAGCCTACAAAATGCACCACAATAAGGTCTTTTAGCACCACGGATTATCAAATATCACAGTAAAAACCACACTTTCAGACCAATTTTATATTACTTTAGGCGGTCTCATATCAAACCCCGGTTTTATTTTTCAAAAGTACTTGTTAAACTGTCGGATTTTTTGATGCTCATGCCTGTCATATATTTTTAGACCCGTTTTGACTGTTTCCTGTCCTTCCTACACTTCTATCTACCACAAAATCAATTTCCGACCTCATCACAGTGCCTATTTTTCCCAATATTCTTACCCACTAACTCTGCAACCAAGTATACCCTCTAAATTCTACTCTGTTGTCCTTCCCATAAAAGTACCCTTTATTTCCGGTGAGATTTTTACATTAATCTTCATATCAAATCAATTTTTTTCAAAATAATTTCCATTTATTAAATGTACATGAATAAAAAAAAAGAAAACAAGTATGCAATGTTTAAATCAACATAAAATGGGTGTTTTATATTTATCAGTGTCCAAAACAACAAGTTGGATAATTCAAAGGGTCAGGGGGAATCAGTCATCTCCAGGATGTTCGGGGCAACAATTCTTGCGGCAGAACCATTCGTCGATGCATCTAAAAGTGAAATAAAGTTGAATACACACCACTCAATGTCACGTTAAAAGACGGTTGATGCATGTTTAAACCTGTTTCACCACCCTTCAACAAGTTATCGAGACAAAAAGTCCTGATAATTTTGCACCGTGCGGATTTGAACGTTTTGGGTCGTCGCTGCGAAAATCGCGAAAAGAAGTGCTTTGCACGGTGCATTTGACCCAAAAAGTGCATTTGCACAGTGCATTTTCCTTTGTTTTTGCCTTACGTCGCGCGCGATTCCCATTTTTCGGAGCGACAAATCGTTTTTTTTTTAGAGTGCGACAGAAACCGCGCAAAATCCGCACGGTGCAAAATTATCAGGACTTTTTGTCTCGACGCAGTGGCAAAAAACGTACCATTTTTCATCCGGGAAGTATCAAAAAATGGAGCAAAATACCTCCATTTCCAAGTGAAAAAAGTCCGATTTCAAAAGCGCGCCATCTCATTTTGTGAGGGGAAGGGCGCGCCCTTCAAAACGAAGTTTTTTTTCACTTGGAGAGGGAGGATTTTGCTACATTTTTTGATACTTCCCGGATACTAAATGATACGTTTTTTGCTACTGGATCAGGTCCGTCACTGTTAGTTCGTCGGTCCCACCACGAAAACCTGCCCAATTCTCTTTTTGCAAAAATTCACAGCTAATCATTTTTCAAACTCCTCACTTTTTATGATAAATGCAAAGACATGGCAGTCGAGCAATTGTGTGGCCAACAATCATTTCCTCCAGGCAGATCGCGCACTCTCCCTTTTCATCTGCCAAAACATCTTCATTGTAGGCGATCTTTGGACGGGTGAAGCACATTACCAGATGGACTTCCGCGTCGTCCGACGGGATTCGTTTGTGGCATACCGGGCATTTCACATCTCGACCGGATACTGAAATTTCGAATGCAAAATACTAGTCGCGACATAAAGTCCTGACACATTTTGCACCGTGCATTCTTCTTTCATTTCATCCGCACGCGCGACAAACCCGAATTTGGGGGTGCGACATCCAAAACCCGAACTTTCGCACCGTGCATTCTCTTTCATTTTCATCCGCACAGTGCATCTTTTCGCATTTGTCGCCGCGATTTCCCGTTTTGCACTAGCGACGTGCACTTTCGCGCGCGACAAACCCGAATTTGGGGGCGCGACGTCCAAACCCCGAACTTTCGCACGGTGCAAAATGTGTCAGGACTTTATGGCGCGACTAGTACGTAAATAAACTCATAGTTCAATATTTATATTATACTAGGTACTTTCGTCATCTTCCCCGCAAACCCCACCGTTTTTTTGACATCTTCAGAGGCCTAAAGCAGACATTATTTTTGCTTCCAGCTAACAGCTTTTTATTTCTCTTCTTTTTTCTTTCAAAACTTATATTACACTTCCCAAATTAATGCCTTATATGCGATATTTAACAAATATTATGACTTTTATTGTTCCCACACTCTCTTCAAAGCCCCTTTCCAATCTCCATTCACCTTTACGCTTGTTCTGAATGCTTACTATACTGCAAATACTCCGCCTCCAAACTTGAAAACAAGACTCAGACATGAAAAGCGGACGTCCCAAGGTGCCAAACATGACTTTTCGTTGATTACAGGTGGGGAATTTGCGTGTGTTCCTATTCAAAAAAGTTTTGCGGAAGGACCGGAAGCCAGAGGGTTGCTTCCGGCCCATTTCTTCGGATGGTTTATGAAGTTCGTGGGGAAGGAGAAGGAAAAAGATGTCTCAAGAAGCTGGATGATATTTTCCCTCATATTTTCCATTTTAATCCACCTATAAAGCCTCAGTTTATAGTCTATCAAACAAAAACTTAAAAGAATCCAAAAAAAAATCCGTCACCGCGACAATTTCTAGGAAATTTCCAAGTTTACAAAACCCCCTTTCCAATTAGTGGCTGAAAATTTTGTTTTCCTATTTTCGACACAATTTCGAATTACTATGGCTTCCGAGAAGCCAACTTTGGTCCTCTTCTCGATTGTATCCCTCTAAAAATGTATTTTCGCACCAACAATCTTCCAAAAAGCCCCAAATCGCAGGCCATATTTATCCATTATTCATAGCGTTATTCTCAGTTTTACTGGATAATAGTCTCTCACTTCCTGTTTACGTGTCATTCTACGTATTTCGATAAAAACTCTGGCGCCTTACCCTCACTTCAAATTAGCCCGTTCCACTGTGGATTCTCGTTCGTTTCGTCCTCATTCCCGTGACTAATGACTCATAAAACCTCTTGAGGCAATAACAGCATAGGTCTGGGACCTCAAAGGGACGGGAAAATAATAGTGATGCAAAAAGAACGGCAATTTTGTAAGGAAACATGGGCTCCAAGACCAAGTTTCCTTACAAAATCGTCATTCTATTTGCACCAGGATTATTTTACCCATCCCTCTGTAATTAGGCTGGCCCTCGAAGGAACGGGGAAAATAATAGTGATGCAAAAAGAACGGCAATTTTGTAAGGAAACATGGGCTTTAACACCACGTTTCCTTACAAAATCGTCATTCTATTTGCATCAGGATTATTTTACCCATCCCTCTGTAACTCCTTTCTCATCCTCCAACAAAAGCTATTTTCCAAAAAAAAACCGTAATTCTTTTTGCATCACGATTATTTTTCTCATTCCCTTACCCTCTCAGCCGTGTCCATGACGTTTGTTTCGAGATTTTGCGTACGATAGGCCAAGAAATTTTACAAAGGCCAAGTTCGGCCGTTTTCCAAAACTCATTAGATTATTAAGCAGGCGTTCCAAGTACTAATCTGGTAAACCCATTGGTTGAAAATGCCCAAAACTTGCAGAATTCATCCTTAGACCCCTATTATCTAACAAAGGAGCCGTTTTTGGTAATCTTAGGCTACAAAAAGTAGGTCCTGAGGGAGAAATAACTCGCAAAGGCCATGAGTTCGTCTAATTACTTCGACTCTTCATTGTAAACAATACTTTTTCGGGCAGTTCTTTTTCGCTTTTCGAGTGGCCGTTCAAGTTCTTGACCTCGGAAAGTCCTCACTTTGGGCCGAGCCTTCTCCAGATTACGGGCGCTCGGGGTCGGCCGTGACGAATCTGAGTAAATTCGAGGGGAATTCTTTATGTGGACGGTCGGAAAATTAGATTTCATTAATCCATTAGCAGTTTTTTGCGGGTCCTCAAAGGGGAAAAGAGGGTGAAACGTTAGGAAACGTTGTGGAAAAGGCGTTCAGAACTTATCTTGCCCCGTCCATCTTAGATTAAAATACATCATTTCTAGCCAAATTTAGCGTTTTTAATTGCCAGAACCCACTCTAATATGGCTTCAAAATCCGCTTAATCCTTTGGAATATGATTTCAGAGCAGTTTTACAATGTCAACCGGCATGCCATCATATTAAATCAAAGTCTTATTGGACAAGAGGGCTTTTACATCAAAGATCCACGGATTATGGAGGAAATAAAGGTAAGCTCCTAATCAAACAAGCTTCATACTTCCGAATCTCTCTTATCTTGCGTTATTTCAGCTTCCCAACTAAAATTTTACTCAATTTTTGCTTCAAATACCTCAATTACAACATGTTGTTATACCTCATCCTGGTTTGCAATATTATTCTACAAATCTTGGCTGATGAGTGTCCTCGAGTGGTGTCTCACGAGATGCTAATAGACTCTTTGATGAGGAATTACAGCAGGTAAACTACAACAGTGTTTTTCACCAATCCCTCCTTTAAATTTCAGAAGTCAAAGCCCATCAAAAAAGCCGGTGCCAGTAAAAGTTGAGGTCACAATCCAGGATATTTCCGAATTATCCGTTCTATCAAACAGTTTTACAGCTGACTTGTGGTTCAGGTTAGTCAAATCCGATAAAAAATATATTATCCTTCACAAATTTTACGTTCTCCATGAGAAAACTGAATAAAATCCCAATCTTTCCAGTTCCCTCTGGCAAGACGAGCGTTTAGCCTTTGACCATTTGGATCACTGTCGGCAAAATCTCTCATTTGATGATACTTTCGAGAGCCGGATTTGGTCACCAAATGTTTGTATCGTCAATTCAAAGGTCTCAAAAGTGCATACATCCCCGAAACCGAATGTTTTACTCATGTTGATGCAAAATGGAACCGTTTGGCTGAACTATCGAGTGAGTTGAAAACAACTATAACAGCACTTTGGCCTGGATAATATCAAAAAATACACTTTTTGATACAGGGTGGTTCAGCCGAAGCTTCCATTATTATTTCAAGTATTTCTCCGCCAATAACGCATCAATTTCTATAAAATTTATATCAAATTGAAGCTGAGGTACTCCATTTTTTGTCTACCAAATTTAAGCTGCCCAAGTTCACGGATGCCCTCGTACTGACCTTTGACATTTTCATTCCAAATTTTGGAGACCGAAATCGGTGAAACTTAGAAAATTTTTGCAATGATTTTCAGTTGAGTTCTCTGGCTTCGAAAATATTCGAGTCCTTGGCAAAATAAGATACTTAGAAGTGAAAAAATTGACGGCAGTCAACGAAATACTCGAAATTTGGAATGAAAATGTCAAGGGTCAGTACGGGAGCCTCCGTGAACTTGGGCCCGTCATATTTGGTGGACAGAAAATGGGGTATCTCAGCTTCAATTTGATATAAATTTTATAGAAAATGGTGCATTATTGGCGGAGAAATACTTGAAATAAGGAAGGAAGCTTCGGCTGCACCACCCTGTATCATCCACGTCAAATTGACCTCAAATCATTATTACTTTACTTTATCACTTCCACATAGTAAAAAATACTCTTTCAGGTTCGAGTGGAAGCCCCTTGCGTCTACGAATTGAGCGATTTCCCGATGGATAAGATTGTTTGTTCCTTATATCTCGAGAGTTACAGCTACAACACTGCTACCGTCAAGATCGATTGGCTAGAGAATGCTGTCACCTTGGCTACAACCGAGTTCTCCGCCTCCGATTACGCTTTTGTTGGGATCAAACACGCAAAACATACGGAAGTGGGTCGAAATTAAATTACTTCAGGCAAAAACCAAATCATTTCACCTAATATCCTGCTCTTTCAGTATTACAAAGCAGGAGAATGGTATCGGCTAACTGTGGACATTCAATTCAAGCGGCGATATGGGTTTTACATTCTCCAAATCTACATTCCCAGCTATATTTACGTGGTTATTTCGTTCATAACCTTTGTAATCGAGCTCAAAGCATTGCCGGCGCGGGTAATCTTGACTGTAAATACGTTGATGTCACTCTGCCTACAATTCGGCAACATAATCGGGTCACTTCCGCCAGTTTCTTATGTCAAAGTAAGGCTTCACACAAGGACAATATAAAAACCTAATTTTTCTCTCAAAATCAAAATTTCAGAGCATCGACTACTTTATGTTCACTTGTATCGCGTTCATCTTCGCTTCCACCGTGGAATTGGCATTCATCGCGTATCAGGTATCGCCGTAATCCTAATCAAAAGTACTGTAATTTTTAGGAGAAAAAGCTATTCATGAGTTCGCTGCGCTTCAACTTCTCTCTAAAGAGCATCATCTCTTGCCGGTGGGTTTACACAGAGCCAGCTAAGGAGGTGAGTCCAATATTATTCATCACCTAGTATAATATCATTAAAACTAAAATTTCCCTTCAGCATGACGAAGAATACGAATTACTCCGGCTACAACGCCGGTTCCAGAAAAATAACTGGCGATTGAGAAAGAAATTATTCATGGATCGAGGCTCGAGAATCGACAAGATCAGTTTTGTCATGTTTCCAACGGTAAGAAAATCAAATTTCGATAAAAATTTTACCAAATTAATACAATTTCAGGCATTCCTATTGTTCAATCTGCTCTATTGGGGATTCTACCTCACCAAGACCCGCGGAAACGACGAGTTTTGAGATTAAAAACAATTTTTTTTCTAACTACAATATAACCAATAACTAGATTTGCTCAAATAAACTTTCACAAACCCTAATATCACTCTTAAATCCTCCAACTTACCCAAAAACTTGAGTGCGGGCATTGAACGACGTTCTCGGGCATCACTGCTCGATGAATGTGCCATATTCGAACCATGGTTCATACCCGCTGAGATGGCCTGAAGGAACGAGATCCTCGACGAGGGAGGCCGAAATGAAAATCGGAGTGCGGATGGGTCTGTATTCGATGAGGACGCAAATTCGTTGCCATCAAAGTCTTCTGAATCTGTCTGAAATTGTAAATTTAGGTATTTATGGACCTAAAGTAATATCAGTCAAAAACTGATAAAAATAAACAAAATTCGGTTCAAAATTCAGATAAAGACTTAAAATAGGACCTAATGTGTTAGAAAATCGCCGAAAACACAAAGTTGCAGCCATAACTTGATCGAACTTTCAATTTCTTCTATTACAACCTAAAATAAGATAAGGCCAAAAAAAGTTGCAAATCCGATAAATTTTTATTTAAAATACAAACAGGGTTCCCTCAACGACCTTTCACTATGTATTTAACAAACTAAAGGCGTAATTCAGTGCTTAAAATAGCCATCCAGGCCATCACGTGAGTTTTCCATGGATAAGAATCGAAAAAAAGAGATTCTGCACAAATCAGAAATCGCAAATTACTTTTAGAAACTCTTCAGCTCATCAAATAAAATCTTCGCCATTCTAAACACAGAAATCAAAGATTAACCAGACCTACCGAGAAGTTTTCACCATTTCGCGCGTTGTGCAACCTTCGAGTTCGCTCCGTGGACCCTTCACTGGACGAACTGGATCGTTGTCGAGGCTAAAATACCAAGTAATTAATTCAATCAGCCTGACAGGAAAAGTTGAAAGCTAAATGGTGCAAGTTTTGAGAAAATTTTCATTTCACTCGAATTTGTTACCTAAAAACAGAAAGCAAAAGAAAATTCGAACTTACTTCAACCTCACTTGGAAACGACTGTCTGGCGCCCATCTTACAAGTTTTTGGAAAAGCTGTACCCGTTTGTAAGCGCTACCCTTACAGAAATGAATTTACACGGAAAAGCCGAGAATCAATGAGAAGTTCGTTAGGCGAAGGTGGAAAAATGAAGGAATTGGTGGGTTTTTGCAAACATCAAGTCCCTGAAATTTCCTCCATTACAGAATACAACTAACAAACTGTATATTGCACGCAAACACCTGATAATCTCGCAAGAAACAGAAAAAATATCGGCGTAGTTCTTGAAGTCTAAAATAAGAAAAAACTTTGAAATAAAAGTTGACTTGTCTGCAAAATAATTTGTTGTGGGCTACCGACCGCAAATAGATATTTCCTTCTTCATGAAAACCACATGACACACCCAGCACCTGACGAAAAAAAGTGAAAACGAATGCGGAGAAAATTCGTTCAAAAATCAGATAAAGAAGGATAATATTTTTGAAGGGAATTGGTGTCAACTCCCTTGGACAACTGATAAGACGGCTGATAAACAGCGGAGGGTGAACTGGAGGGCATTGCTCTTGACGTAAAACCGTCCTTTCACAAAAAACAAAAATAACCCAGGGCGCAGCTCGTCACTGACGTTCTGCAGGCTGCGAAACGAAAATAGTGCAAAGTCATAATTATTCAAAAATGGATGTATTTGCGAGATCAAAAAGGTCGTGCGAAGGGCAAATAGGTTGTTGGGGATAAGGGGAGTCTAAAAATACAGGGCTTTGGGGACCAAACATCTTGTGGACAACAAATTTTCGCAGTTGTTTATCAGTTACTCTTTTCCCCCGAATGCAGTGGAAGTAAGAGCTCACTGCCCTCGTCCATCTGACCCGAAAAAACGGTCTCGTGTTTTGTTTTTTATTTTTGAAACAGAAAAGCGGGCATAGCCAAATTAACATGATCCCCGGAGGGCCCGACTGATTACACGGGAGTGGTCTCGTGAGTGATGTCGAGGACGTCTCGCAAGGAAAAGGTACGCCATTCCTGCGGTCTGATCGAAAAAAGACGGCTTCCCAGTGTTTTGACGGGCCTTTTGTGCAGGTAAACGAAATGATCGGAAAAAGGCGAAGGGGCGAAAAACGAATGGATATTGTAGTAGGTGATCTGACGGGAAAAAGGGACGCTGAGGGATGGGGAATTGTTTTGAGAGAAGTTTTGCTGCTTGAGGGGGATCAGAAAGGCCTTGGGAAGGTTGGAATGGGTTGAAAGGTCAGGGAAAAGGTCAAAAATTGAACTTTTTGATCTATAGTAATATTTTTGATATCAAAAATTTTTGATATTTTGCCATAATTGAGTTTCTGACATTTGAAACAGTCAATATCAAACTCAAAAGCTCTTTTTCGTGAGGATAAATCAATCTTTTTATACGAAAAACTCAAAAAATTTTGTTCAAAAGGTAGATCCAGCTCGTAAAACCCTCCAATTAAGAGCCCATTAAACAAAAAGTTTGGATTGCCGAGGTTTCCAAGCCGGCCCAAACGGAAATCAGATAAAGAAGATTTAATCCCGAGCGGAGAAAGGGAGCAGATCCAATCGGCCGCCTTGGGTTTGTCTTTCGGGCCAATTTCTTTTATTTATGTGTTCGGCCAACGGGTTTGTCATTGTTATTCTAGTCGCAAATTGGACCCACAAATATTAAATCACTAAACAAATACGACGATAAGCCGAAAATTGGGGAGAATTTCGAAGTTTTTTCAGATTCTAAAAAACCCGTCATGATTACGGATTTTTTTTTGAAATTTGGTTGATATGTAAATCGTGGATACCTAAGAATTTTTAGGAACATTTGAAGATCTGTTATGCAAAAAATAATCGAGATTTGACATTTTAAGTAAAAAAAATCTCACTTTGAAAAAAATTAAAAATCCGAAAAAAACGAAAAATTCTGATATACTGAAGACCAAAAGATGCTGATATTTGCACATTTGGACTTTTAAAAATAAAAAAAATAGTAATAGAAATACCCATTTCTATCTAAAATTATGTTTACAACAACTTTCTGTAGCCCACTTCCACCCAATCAGGCGAGAAATCACACAAGAAACTTTCCCTTATCACAACGTTTTTTTAGTCCCGGAACAAGCCGGATCCGGGAAATTTGGTTGTATAAGAAGCGAATGACGTAGATCTTGCAGTATGACTCAAAAAAGGGAGCATTGGGAATCTTTCGGGAAGCAGAATGAGGCGCTGCATCTGTTCCTCTCGGGGCATTGACATTAACGGACAATTTGAGAGGCATTCGGAGCGGGTGGACGCGAGATACGTATTTGTGAATTTTGAATATTTTAAAGTGTGAAGTTAGGTGAATTCAGATGAAGTTATTATAAATACTGATTGAAAACAACCTTAAATATCTTGGTTGTTAATTACAAACGGTTTTTTGGTCACTGTAAGGCTTTAGAATCGAAAAGCGACATTTTATACGATGAAACGTATAATGGTACATACGAAGTGTGACGATTACAAAAATTGCTCAAAATGGTGTTACAGTACCGCTAGATGAACGGTAAATCCAAAATGACTTATTTAGAAAGCATTTTTACAGTCAGTGCCATTTTATACGATGAAATTTTTAAACCGAAAGAATTGAAAAAATCGCTTTCCAAAAGTTTACAAAATTACTGCACGTTGCATTAAAAACCTTTAAAAGTCCATTAGAATACAAAACTTCAAGTTTCAAATCATTTGATGCGTAAAAGATTGGTCAATTTTGTAACGAACCAACTTGTCACGCTCTCCTTTTCCCCTTATTTTCAGCATCAAAAATCTCGTAAATAAAATATAACACACACCCAGAAACGAAGCCCGGCCGGCAGGACTCCGAACGAATTTACAAACAACTTTTTTTTTGCACCGGAAATGATGCCTGAGGGGAATGAACTTTTGAGGAATTAAAAAAAAATTAAAATTGATAACAGGTGGAGTTAGAATTACGAATTTGGGGGGAGTAAGTTGTCGTTGTGAGTAGAGATGTCGAAAAAATTTTGGGAAAAAATAAGTCATAATGACACATTTTGAAAATTTTTCTTTAAAATTCGAATTTTTAAGAGGATTATGTAAATTTTGGAAAGTAAAAAAAGTGATCATGGAGTCAAAAGATATTTCAATTTTTTTTAAAAAATTAAATCCGTCATTGCCACATATTTTTTGGATTTTTTTGAAAACCAAATTACAGTAAATTTTATAAAAAAAAAAATAATTTAATTTGTAAAGCTTCAAAAAATTAAATAAATTTTACACGTCATCATGACATATTTTTAAGAATTTTTCTAAAAATTAAATTTTTTTTTGACATTTAATCAAATTAAAAAATTTTTGTTTCTAATTTCCCCCCAGAAACTCCCGTAATGACCTCAAAAATAACCGCAGACCCTGAGGGCTTCTCGCCCAAAAAACGTTCGAAAAATTAAGCTCGTCTTGGCCGAAGGAACGGCGGCACGAAAAAACGGGCGGAATCGGCCAAAACAATAAAATCGCGAAGATAAAGTGTTTTCCCGCTACTTGTGACACGAGGTCGTAAGTGAAACAGGGCAAAAACGCGAACGAAAATCCCCCTTTTCTTCCCGTGCGTTCGATAAAATTTCGCTGGGCTCTTTTCTCTCATTTTTATCCGCATTATCTTCCCTCACTGCCTCGGCGGGCCCACGAACGGAGGGCGGAAAGAAATGGAGGGACACGAATTTTATTTTATTTTTATTTTCACTTGAAGCCTTTTCTCCGTGCAGAATTTGGAAAGACGATCAGAGATGGAGAAGGTTAATGAGGGCATTCTGAGCGGCATATTTAAAAGACGATTTTTGGCTCGCTGCGTCAGCGGTGGACATAGGAAAAAATCGATTTTGAGTTTTTTGCATAAAAATGACCGTCGACATGTGCTAAGGAAAAGCGAACAACAGTTTTTCTCAATTCTGCCCGGAAGGCATAAATTTGCTTAAATTTGTCTTTTTTGGAATTTTCGACCTGGTGACGTCATAGAAAGAGCAAATCACCCAAAATTTTGCTTGTATACGTTTTATAACCATTGGGAATCCATTTTTTTGAAAATCAAGTCTCTCAGATTACTGTAACATAGGCATATTGCAATTCGGTCGATAAAAATCGACCGTAACTCCTTCGTATCAAAAATCCCACAGGATTTTATTTCAGATTCAAATTCAGCGTAAAATTCTGCATATTATACACATAATGTGAGGTCATAACTCCAGGGGGGAGATCGCGTAGTATATTGGATTTTGACAAAAATTACGTTTGAAAGGTCGCGGGTTCGATCCCCACTTGGTGCAAATATTGAAAACACGGCGGAAATCGCGTTTTATGGACACCTAAGGGTTATGTGAGATACACTAAGCATTTTTAAACATTAATGCATATCTAATTCGAGTAGAACTGATTTTATATAATTTTTGGGGACGGAATATGCAAAAAATGAAACTGCTTCAAACCGCTTGAAATTGGCAACACTTATTCTAGGGTCAATTGTAAGAAACTTTTCCGTTAACTTTTTTTGGTAGATCACCGTACGATGGATTACTGTAGCGTTAAACGTGTCCTGATTAACAGCAATTTTCTTAAAAATTCTTGCATAAAATATTAAATCGCTTTAATTAGTCGCTTTAGACAGCGAAAAGATCCACTTCCTATATATGAAAGAAAATTCGCCCTTAATTGCAACGCGTCTTGATGTCATAATGAATTGGTGAAAGGGCGTCAAATAACTCGGCCGTTCCAAACGGTACAGCTACAAAATTTTTTTTGTACACAAGAAAACTCTTTCTTAACCATTCTGAGCACAATGACGACAATCCGACTTCTATGCGCCATGTGGTACACGAAAAACCAAATCAGGTTTAATGTTACAGTAATCCATGGTACGGTGATCTACCAAAAAAGTTAACAGAAAAGTTTCTTACAATTGACCCTAGAATAAATGTTGCCAATTTCAAGCGGTTTGAAGCAGTTTCATTTTTTGCATATTCAGTCTCCAAAAATTATATAAAATCAGTTTTAATCGCAATTAGATATGCATTAATGTTTAAAATTGCTTAGTGTATCTCACATAACCCTTAGGTGTCCATAAAATGCGATTTCCGCCGTGTTTTCAATATTTGCACCAAGTGGGGATCGAACCCGCGACCTTTCAAACGTAATTTTTGTCAAAATCCAATATACTACGCAATCTCCCCCCTGGAGTTGTGACCTCACATTATGTGTATAATATGCAGAATTTTACGCTGAATTTGAATCTGAAATAAAATCCTGTGGGATTTTTGATACGAAGGAGTTACGGTCGATTTTTATCGACCGAATTGCAATATGCCTATGTTAGAGTAATCTGAGAGACTTGATTTTCAAAAAAATGGATTCCCAATGGTGGAAAACGTATACAAGCAAAATTTTGGGTGATTTGCTCTTTCTATGACGTCACCAGGTCGAAAATTCCAAAAAAGACAAATTTAAGCAAATTTATGCCTTCCGGGCAGAATTGAGAAAAACTGTTGTTCGCTTTTCCTTAGCACATGTCGACAGTCATTTTTATGCAAAAAACTCAAAATCGATTTTTTCCTATGTCCCGGGTCCATTACGGGCTGACGCAGCGAGCCAAAAATCGTCTTTTAAGTTGAATTGGCTTGTTAGGCTGGAGAATTGCGAAGAAAATACGATATCAGCAAAGAATGGAAAAAAAACTTATATTGGTTTAAGTATCAAGTATAGTACAATAAAAAATGGAATTTCTCAAAATTATAAGCTCAGATTTGGATAAAACATACAAACGAATTTTTAAACAGTATCACAGAGTTTTCGAACGGGCTTTCTTAAAGAAAAAAAATCGTTTTTTTTTTGGTGGAAAGCATCAAAATTTTGAATTTTTTTGGTTTTTTTTTGGTTTTCAGAGTGAAAGATAGTATTGTGGTATAAAAATCAAAAAATCATCGCTTTTTGCGCAAAATTTTTAAAGACACGGCCAGAAAATATTTTTTCTCTGACCATCTCCTCAATTTCCCTAGTCTCTCGTCAACAAAAACCGATGATTTTCTTGCTGAACTCGCAATTCTTGAGCTAAAATTTTCAAGGATTTATAAGTGGCCTAGACAGAGGAAAAAACTAAAAATTTAAGGAGAGTCGGACCTCAAGCATTTCTAATTTTTTCTACACAGGTCCGAAAAGAATATTGAAGAGGGGTTATGATCCATGATCTCTGTGCCCTTTGAAAAAAAAGTTATTTTTGTCTGAAGTCTCATTCAAGAGTGCAAGTTTCAGTTTTCATTGGACCTCATGAGCTCGTCAAGCACGAATAAATAAATAATATTAGATATTAATAACTATTTTTTTTTAATTTTCAAAATTTAGTAAATTTTTGGGTTTAAAAAAATAAAATTGCCAAGGTAAATAAAAAATGAATCAGGATGACAAAAAAATTTAGACAAAAGTTTTAATCGATTTTTGAAAAAAAAATTTAATTTCCAAAATCTCGGAAAGTACATGTTACTACTCAAATTTTTGCTCATTGACCATCACCAAGAGCCCATTTAAAAATATTTTTGGGTGCAAAAATAGTCCTCGGGAAAACGTCGGCACGGGCGCGTACGGATATTTGAAGGGAGAGTAAGTACATGCCCAAATTATTCTTGGAAAAATGCCAGGCGCTAATTTGAAAGAGGGCACCCAAATTTTTAAAAGGAAATCATTCGAAAACAAAGTCATACCTTTATTCAAAAATTTTTTTTTTTTTTTTTGTAAAAAATTTAGCGATTTTGAAAAAAAAAATACTCGCCCTGTAAGTATTATATTTCATTCAAGGTCAGTGAGAAGAAAGGTCAAAAAAAATTAAAAACAAGGTAATAACAAATGACAGAGTAAAGAAAGATGGAGAAAGTGGTGACCTTTGAAAAATAAGTTTATTTTTTCTGTCTCCAAAGAAATTTCAAAACTGGAGATTGTTGAAAACATAATATTATACATGTATGGTCATGGTCGCTAAAATCAGTGAGATTTTTTTATTTAGAACCCCTCATAAACATTTTGGGGCAAAATTACAAAACTTCGATTTTTTTTTTTTTTTTTTTTGAGATTTTCTTGATCAAAACTTGACGTTCTATTTGACATGGGTAATAGACTATCCCTGCAAAAAATCAATTTTTTATCCTCGAAACTATAGGGGATATAGCCAAGGAAAATTTTTCTCTGGCCGTCTCCTCATTTTCTACAGTCTCTCGTCTGCAATGATCGTTGAATATCTCGGGTCTGCTTGTCAAGCAGGAGCTCAAATCTTTAACGATTGAAGTAGACCCCATGTTGAATATTCAAACAAAATTTCAGCGGAATCGACCGGTCTCCCCTCGAGCAATTTCACTTTTAATATTGACCATTACAACCTCAAGCTCCACGAAACCTTTGCCTTCAATTCCTCAAATGCAACCCCGAAAATGCCTGTTTTCCCTCGAAAAATCGCATAAACAACCAATGACAGCCATAAAAATAAGGCGCTGTCATTTTCTGGGATATTTCCCTGGGGAAAAATTCAAAAAAAGGACCTCAATTTTCAGCCCAAAACCCCCTTATTTCTTGTCAATTTGTTTGAAATGGATGAAAAACTCATTTCGAATCGTGTAATTACAAAACTGGTTCGTCTTTGGAAATTTTTATGGAAATAAATTCAACTGGGACTGCTTCGAATGAGACGGTTTTATCGAGAACTTTGCAAATCCCATCAACTCCAATTACAATCGGTCTAACAGCTGGATTAATGTGAGTTTTTCTTGGGGTAAGTACGGAGATCTCTGAGTAATCATAATGAAACTTCCCTAATATGAAGTCAAAAATATTTAAAGAGATTTTGGAAATTTTTGACCGCGTTATGCAGAATTTTGGGGCTTAAAAAAGATCTTTGAAACTGTCAGGATTTTTTGAAATTTGTTTTTTTTTTTGATGAATCAGTGCAATATTATTCGTCCAAAAATTACTTTTCCACTACGGGTTTATCGTATTTTTAATCTATGTGAGTGTTTTCTGGTGTAAAATATGAATAATATTGGTTAATCTGGCCTCACTCTTTGTCAGGAAATTTGTGTAAATAAGTTAAATCTGCAATTTCTCAAGAATTCTGGAAGTTTTCATATTGGTTTTTGCAGAATTAACCTAGTTCTGCGGCTTTGAAAATCAAAAAATCTCATTTTTCGAAATATTGAAATTTTAATTTTTGATGACATAGGGCAACATAATCAATCAAAAAATTACCTTTTCAGCGGTGTTTACTGTCTTCTTGGAATCCTATCCAGCATTTTGAACCGGGATCGTTTCAAGGACAAACGATGTGACTGTGATGGATGTAAATATGCGGAAGAGAGCACTCAGAATACGACAACTGGACAGGCAAATCGGCAAATCAAGTGTACTTATTTGTGACTCAATTCCTAAAGTTTAATGATTGGTGGAGATAAAATTTTATTCAAAAAATTAATATATGTATTATGCTTTGGTATTTAGTTATGACAATCACTATTGGGAATCATAGGTAGCTGACGGCAAACTGGTTTACTGTCCGGCCTTTTTGTACGCGTTCTCTCCGAACAATTTGACAGCCAAGCACATGGCGCTGCCAGTGTCCTTGCAGATCTCGGAATTGGCGGCCTGCTAAAAGTTTTGAATTTGAAAGGTCTAAAAATTGTAATAGTTACCTCCAGGCAAGAGCAGAAATTCTCGTCACAAGTCTTCTTTCCACCTTGGCTATTGTAGCAATTGTCGTGGGCCTTGCAACATAAATTTACGCTCTCTGAAAACCAACATTTTTTAAAATTTTAAATAGTCTGTGTCCTGGGAAGACTACTTGTAAGAGAAGTTCCTAGAAAGGCGACGCTCATGTTTTGATCAAACTTGATACAATTCTAGACTTGCTTCAACAAGAAGATGTTTGAGATTTTTAACTCGCGCTCTGCAAAAACAACTGGCGGTTTTAATCTAGAAATCGACCAAATTTGCAACTTTTTAGGAAGTGTATAAATATGTACACAAAAAAATCTTACTTCGCTTCTGTTAAAGAGGGTAATGCTTCTACAAAAAATCAACTTTTTCTGTGTGTGCGTGCAGAATTCTAAGCAAATTCTAGACAAGTAACCTATGTACAACGAACAACAAGACTTGTCTTAAAAACAATTTTGAAAGCATCACGAATCAACGTTAGGCCAGAATCAACGGCGGTACAACACATCCTCTTTCTAACGAATCATTTTTCCGGTTCCTTACAACTTTTAGTACACACATACACGCAAACTTACCTTTCTGACTGTTGCAATTCGTATCCACCACAACTTCTGCAAAGGCCAAAGACGCACCGCCAAGCCTGTCGTTTTTGGATCCACAGTACCAGGTGTCGGCAGCGATGCTCACGGAAGCCAACGCCATGATGAGGAACACATTGACATTCTGCATTTTACCGTTAGAGAATGGTATGTTGCTTTCCTCCGGACTGTGTGGTTTATATACCAGTCGCTGAGCGAATTAGAAATCGATTTCATGCGTTCGCAATGTGATTTTTCGACACAAATATGCAGATTGGAGGGTTTAATCCTGCCTGTATGAGGGCAAAGTTTAACAAATTATAACACATTTGATAAATTTTGAACGCACAACTCGATTTTTTGCTGTTTTTTTGATGGAATTGGGCACAAATTTTAATATTTAAATATGAATTTTAGTATTTACAGAATGTCGGATCCAATTTGAGCCGGTAATCATTTTTTATCACCATGTATTTTATATATAATAAGCGTCTTTGCAATGTCCTTGGAGTGTGTCTGATCCACTAAAATGCAAATCCATGAACTTTCCCTTCATAAAAAACCGGAACGCTGTCAATTCGTCCTTGGAACTCATGGTCTTACGCTGTTACCGTGGCGGACAAGACTTATGGTACAAAGGTCTTGCGAATGAAATACGGGAATTTCTCAACGTACAGTTTGTAAATAGAAATATTGGGTCCTTGAGGGCTTGGGAGAAGATTAACCAGCAAGTACAATTTGGAAAGTGTATTATGCAAAAGAAGAAACAAATACACGACTGAGCCAGGCCTTCTTTGAACGACACTTTCTAAGACTAACCTCTTGTTTCCATTCTCGGAAACTTCTGTGGCAACTTGACGATTCAGGAGAATTGCGATGGGACAAAACGAGCAATTCATGTGGAGAATTTATTCTTTGTATTACTTATAGATTTTTTTCTAGCATCTGAAAAGCCGAATTCCAAAACAGAATCGGATTTTTGCAAATTTCTGTGCAAGAAACCTCGATGTTCTTCAAAAGACACGAGCAAAGATTGTAGTAAATGTTCTAAAAAACGATCTACCCATGCCAATTTTCATTTTACGATGAGGGAACTGATAGAATGTAGCAAAATGCCTCACTCTCCAAGTGAAAAACCTCCGATTTCAAAAGCGCGCCCGTTCTTTTTGTGAGGAGCCTTCAGAACGAAGTTTTTTTTTTCACTTGAAGGGGGAGGCATTTTGCTGCATTTTTTGATACTTCCCGGATGCAAAATAGTACGTTTTTTGCCACTGGATCAGGTCCCTCACTGTAATTTACCCAAACCATTGATTTTCCTTCCAAATAAACTCGAATGAATAATGCTGGAAATGTTTATTGATCGATGCGAATTCTGAGATCACAATTAACAATGGAGCCAAGAGTGCTCCAATATTACCTTGATTACACTGTATAAATTATATATCTGAACTAATTACACTAATACCCGTGCATTCCACTCCACCATCCTCAGCAGAGTTTTTGGCAGTCTCTGATATTCTGATCACCTCCTCGATGGCTAACTACAAGTAGACTTTGCGGACCCGGTAATCCCTCGGCAGCGTGGCGCCCATGGACTGGCCCAGCATCAGGTTGCGTTCGGCGTGGCGCGGCGTCTGCAGCCCGCTGCCGCCGTTCGAGATCGACGTCATCACGGGCATGTGGTTGCCGTGCAGCGACGCGTTGAACACCAGCGATACGGTGTCGGCGCCGCCCCGACTCACCGGCGCCGATGAGTAGATGTGCTCGCCCGGAGCCGACGCCACCGTCGCCTTGTGCTGCATAATCAACGAGTCGTGCCGAGTGAGGCGCGCCCGCCCGTACGAGTCACAGTCGGAGCCGTTGGAGGAGCCGACCGGCGAGCCCAGCTGCTGCGCGGCGCGGTATTTGGAGATGCGGTAGCCAATCTGGAAATGGGGCAAGATGAAGGTGGGGAATGTGAGATTTGAAAGGTAAGTCATTGAAAAATTGACCCAAGGGATCAAAATTTTTTTTCGCTATAGAAAGGTTTTGTTATACCGAGTTTCATTTTGGCCTAAAATTGATTTTGGAGACTTGTGAAAGTGTTTGTTACAGGAAGGCTTTTTTGTATGAAAATTTCTGGTACAGAGTTTTCAAGTCATCATGAAATTGTAAAATCGAAAAAAATTGATTTGAAAACTCTGTAGAACAAACCTGCCTATAACAAACAATTTTAGAGGTCCTTGGAGTCGATTTTAGGCTAAAATGAGAACCTTCGTATAACAAACCATTGGTATGGCAAATATTTTTCGCCCCTTGTGATTCGTTATACGGAGGTTTTACTGTATATTTTTTATACTTTCCCCTGTAAAGTAGGAAACCCGGTACCTCAAAAAAAGAGAAAAAAACTCACCAAAAACCCGACCAAAGAAGCGCACATAATCGCCGCAATGATAGTCATGGTGACCGTAAAGGATGCCGAGTCGGTTGTGGAATTACTGAGGCCCTCTGACTTTATTTGTCCCAACAAAATCTGCTCTCCGAATCCGGGCCCGTTCACATCGATCGCGTAACTGTTCTCGTCGATGGTCTGGGCGTACACTGAGCTGGGACATTGCTCGGAGATGCCGGTCAAAACATTTTGGACAAAGCTTCCACGAGACCAGTCACTGAAGAAATGGAGGTCGATTAATGTAACAGTTAAGATTTTTTTTATTTTTTTCTTCAAAAAATCTCATTTTCCAGTAGAAAATTTGTTAAAAAACCGTCAACTCACGTTCTGTGGACACATCGTTTCGCCGAGATGTCCCACGCACAATGCGGGTCCCTCAGCCTCACGCATGACGAGCAACTCGTCTGACTGTCACAATGTTGGACGGCCACTTTGATTACTCGATCTTTGGCGACAACCAACAGCTCCAGATCCGAGGCCGACGCGATTTGAATCACAGGGACATGGTTTTCGAAAACGCGGACATTCTCGGCCAGGACTGTTGTCTGATTTCTCGCTGTCTCCACGATTTTCCCGATCGTTCCGTCATGTCGTCCCACATAGATGACGTTGTGAAGTTGGCCGCGCACCGACTTGACCGGCTTGATCGCATGAATGGCGGTGAGTTCGGGCTTGGCGGGCCCCTCCACCAACAGCGGCCGCTTCCCTTCGGCCTGGACCAGGTCATACATCAACGGGTTTTTGATGATAAAAGAGACATCCGACAGTCGTCGACTGTCCATCACACACTTCCCGGGCCTCTCCTGATTCGCCGTATAGAAGCGTTGATTGGGAATCCAGGCCGACTGAGGCGTGCGTTGGGTCTTGAAACGACCGTGGTCGAACAGTTCTTGGACGGAACTCATTCGAAAGGCACAGACGGCCGAGAGGAGAACCGAAGAACGGGAGGTTTGGAAGACGCCGAATACGACGGCGTCGCCGTTACCGTCCTCAATCGGGTCACTGATGGACTCTGAAACGGAGAGTTGGATTTTGTGGCAAATTTTTGGGATATTGAAAATGAGATTTTTTGAAGTTAAAAAGTCTATAGCTCAGTTATTTGGGCAAAATACAGCTTGAAACTTTCAGAAATGCCATAAAAAATAATAATCTTGATTTCTACAAATTTTCGGAAAAATTGAAAGTCAAGATTTTTTAAATAGAAAATGCCATATTTTTGTCATTTTTGTAAAATACGAATAAAAATATTTATTTCCAGAAATTTCTCTAGATGTTACAAAGCTAACAGACAACCATAAATGTCAGAAAAATCGGTATATTACACATGGGGTAGCTCTGAATTAAGGCCAATTTTTTACAGAAAATTTTAAATTTTGGCTCCGTAAAAATGTCGATCTCCTCAAACCTCAAAATCAAAAATTTCATCCAATTTCGTGATCAGAAAATCCAGCCACTACCATTAAAGCGAACTTACGCAATTCATTGAAATAGAAGGGAACATCAGCGGGGACCGAGCAGTTCAATCGCGCCTTGAGGAAGGATGACCACCGATCCTGGGCTGGCGATGGGCCTCCATGGTCGTTGGCGCAGACTCGACCAACCCGAGCGTAGGTTTGGCGTTCGTGGTTGTTGTCCATACTTTCGGCGGCTTTCTCTCGATACCAAAAGTAGACGTGCTCTTTGTAGACGAAGGAACCGACAAAGTCCGGGTCTGAAGAGAAATTTATACAGTAAAATAAACTGTCATTTCTCAATTCCTTCAATTTTTGAATAAAAAGAAATTTTTGAAAAATTTCCAAAAAATCCGTCATGATGACATGTGCAATCAGCAAGGAATTGAGAAATTTGAGATTAATTTATTTACTGAAATCGATGTAGTAAACATTTTTACTTGAGTTGACCGTTTTGCCAGTCACAATGACGTTTTCTTCAATATTTCTTTTAGAAAACATGTCATGATGACATCTTTAATTAACGGAAATTCATAAATTTGAAATTTACATCATGTGTGGTAAGTAGTAAAGAGACAGTAAAATTTTGGATAACTCAATTTTGCCCCCTTTCTGTGTCATAATGACGGATTTTTCGAATTTTTGTTTGAAAAAAATTTTTTTAATTGTTTCAAATTTTAGTCAACCACTTCGAACTTACAATCAATGACTCTCAGGTCGTCCTTCTGTGTCCTCAAACTCTCTCCTCTCGGTAATCTTTTCCGATAAATCAATGGGTCATTCCCCCCGAAATCCGAAACCGTCCCCACAAAAATGTCATTACTCTCGCGAAGATATACATAAGTTGAGTTGTGCCTAGGATCATAAGGAGCAATCGCTTGCCCACTGTACTCTTGTTTGTCCACGAATCGATCCTCCGCCAAATTGTAATCATATTCCCGACATTGCGGGGAGAACGCGTGAGTTCCGCAAATTAGGGTGCGTCCGTTGCGCAACGGTGCCACAACTCGAATGAAATTGTGGCATTCGGCCTCGGACTTGCCCTTCATATGGCATTCTTCGATGGTTTGACCTAGTGCGGGCCATTGGATCGTCTGAAAATTGAGGAAAATAAGGGGAAATCAAAAAATTTCGGGAAAATTTTGAAAAATTCTAAACAAATAAGTCATGATGACGCGGAAAAATGGTCAGTATCTCGGAATTTTTTTCTGGGCATCTGTTTTGACCAGTTAATAAAATGAAAAAAAAATAATTTTTGAGATTTCATCAAATTTAAAAATGTCATGATGACGGATTTTTTGGAAAATTTAAAAATGTCATGATGACGGATTTTTTTTGGAAGGTAAAACCAAATCTTTTTTAGAATCTTTTTCCTCAAAAATAACCAGTACTAAGCTCAGAACATCAATCTTTATCATTTTCAACATGTCATGATGACATATTTTTTGGAATTCCACCACGATAAGTTTTGCTTACAAATTTTGGATCCAATGATTGGATTGACAGATTGTAGACGGCATCTCGGGCTCCAATAATCACAGAATCGCCGTAAACATCGACTAGTCGGAAGTTCTCTTGAGCGCCGGCCGCACTCTGATATTTCACTTGGTTTGAACCTGAAAATTGAGATTACAGTGGTGATATAAATGAGTTGAGACATCTTTGCATCGTATTTTTCTCTTAAATAGCTTATTGATTCATAGATTTGAGGATTGAATTTGCATTTTGAGGTTTTTATAATTATAAGGCTTTTTTGATGACTTTGAAGGGTAAAATGACAAAAATGACAAAATTTGAAGAAGATTATTTTGCAGTAATACTAGTATATAGGTCCAAAAAGGTCCATAGAATTTATAAATTCAATCGTCGTTTCAAAAAACCATATATTTTTAATTTTATACTCATTTTTCCCAAAAATCCCCATCTGATGTCTAAAATAAGGTCGATTTGACTTCAAACCCCTCGATATTTCCAATTGTCTCCCTGTAATTGTCTTAACTAGATCCTACTCATTATGCAGATTCCTCTTTCTCCGATTATCTTATTTTCCCTGCGGCGATTTGCCTCATTCTTATTCCCCAATGCCCGTATAGCTAATGTCCATTATTTGCATTCGGTTTTTAATTAAAATTGGAGTCAATTTTAATCCGCTCGTTGCGCAATGTCAACCGAGAGGAGGGGTAATGACCGGATCTCTCATTAATTTCGAATAATTTGAGTGATTCGCGACATGCTTTTCACTGTAATTATGCAGATTAGGCGTCATGGTGCTGGATTTCGGCAAGAAAATCGCGGGGGAGAGAATATGGGGGTTCGTATTTTAGGTGGATAAACACTTTTTTTGGGTCTGAAAAACCTGTTTTGACAACTTTTGGATGTTTTAGAGTTTCAAAAAAATATGTCATCATGACATATTTTTATGAAATTTTTGACAATTTCGTTGAAACCATATAGAAAATAGGCTATGAAATTTAAGGTGTATTTCGATTTTTGAAATTTTCAAAAAATATGTCATCATGACATATTTTATAAAATTTTATTCAAAATTCTCCTAAAATACGGCCGTTTTCCAATTATTTTCCCCTCTATATCATTTCCCTGCACTTGTTGTCATTTCGATTATTCCCCAGGATTTTCGGCCCTATTTTCTCCATTCCCGAACTGCGCCCTCAAGGGAATTTTTGGCATAATGTCGCCACTCAAAGCCTCCAATCGGCGGATTATCATGACATCCGATCCCGGGAGGGCGTTTAGGGCCGCGAAACGACGGAACTTTTATCCGATGGCCAAAGTTTCTTTCCCCGAAAGCCCCCATATTGTAGTGGGGTCTCAGGGGTCGCAAAATGGAAATCAAAATGGGGCAAAAAAATTTTACAGACTCTTAAAATTACTGGTAAGTTATAAAAAAAGTAAACTTATCGTATTTACACTGATATTACAACTTTTTAAAATTACTAGGATCATATAAAACTACGGTAATTTCCCCGAAAATCTCATTAATTAAGCCAGAACTAATTTTTAAGAGTCCAGAAAAGTCAGAAAAGTCCCATTTGCCCTGAGGCCATTAATAATGGAACGGCCTTTAATCACCCATTGTTTGGGGGATGTTAACTGACCTCGAACAGGTGATTTTTTATAAATAAAGTGGAGGGGAATGCGATGGGAAAAGGTTGAAACGAACTTTTGAAAGTTGCAAAAGGAAGAAAATGCTATTTTTGGATTAAAAATTTAGATTTTTTATATTGTGTTAGACGAAAAATTAAAAAAAAATTTGCAAAAATGGATAAAATTTTGATTGAAATTAATGAAAAACAGCTACAAACAAAACATTATTCAAAATTCTACATTGCTTTGCCAGAAAAATCAAAGATTTCGGCAAAAATTTCAGATTTGTTGCCTAAAACAAGGTCAAATTTTTATTTTTGAAAAAAATTTCGGTCAAAAAGACGGCGAGGATGACTGAAATGCCTGAAATACTATGTAAATAGCCTGATATTATAATTTGCAGAGAAAAATCACGGCCCTTTACCTTATTTACCGGTAAAAATTTGAATTGAAAAAAATCGCACAGTGCAAAATACCAAAAAATATTTTTTTTCAAAAGGCCAAAAAATTTTTTTCCATGTTTAATCTAACTATTTATGGCCATTTGAAATGTCAGCAACTCTTCTTTTTCGCCATTAAAATCAATTTTATAGCCAAATCCAACAAATTCCAGCCGTTTCGGCCAAAAAATTCGGATTTAACGGCCCAAATGAGCAATTCAAATGACCCCTTACCCTCATTGATGACATTCCTCGGCTTCGGGTTCAGATTCTCCGAGTTCTCGGCGTTGATTTTTATAGCGAACAGGATTAGAAGCAATAAAACATTCATCTTGAGGTCCAATTTTACATGAGGTTACTGATTCCCATTAGTCTGAAAAGTCGATGATTACTAATAGGAAATGGGCAGTAATTTGGAGTCGAATAGTCATCACGACAGCCCAGATGGCTGGGAAGAAGATTGCAAAAAGATAAGTGGGAAATTATGATGATAAAAGTATGAGTCAGAGTGTTAGGGGTTTTGATAAAAATTTAAGGTTTTTTTAATATAACGAAGAGTAAAAAAGTAAAATCAAAAGAGCAAAAAGAAATAATTTAGCATAAAAAATAGAAAAAATAAAGAATTATAATTTTTTTTGGTTTTTTTTTTAGATTTTTTGAACTTTGAAGCGCTATAACTCCGATATTTCTGTAAAACACGATCTAAAAATTTTGCAAAATTAATAAAATATATTCATCTTTATCCACGCCAAATTTTTTAAAAATTTGAAATTTCCCCTTGGGCAAAATTTTTAGAAAATCATAAAAAAATCAACTTTTTTCGAAATTAAAAAAAAAAATCATTTTAATTAAAAAATAATTTTTTAGCTAGAAAGAAACTTCAAATATTTTTTTTTTCCTAAAATACGATCAAAAAATCTAATTTTTGCCTTCAAAAAATTCAATTATTTCCCTCAATAAACCTCTACACCTGTCATTTCCCTCCTTTTCGAGCTAATTTTTATTGATCAAATCACAAGCAAAAAGAATTAGCCGACAAAAAATTAATAAAACGATTTCTTTTCATTTTTTTTATTTTCCCCGCGCAATCGAATCGATAGCTCTTTATAACGCCTTGAACCCCCCTCCCATCCATCAATTTTGCTTCTGTTTTTTTTCTCGATATCTTAGACGTTCTGAACCTTCTGTTAGACAATAAATATTGGGATATAACATTTGTCATTTCAGAAATAGGAAAAATTTGAAAAAAAATGTAATTTTCATTAAAAAATCTCAAAATAAACCGCTTGAAAATATGAACAATTAAAGAAATAGTGCTGTTTCGACCTTTACGAGGCATTATCACTACGATTTTGTCATAAAAATTGTAAAAATTCGCATGAAAAAACATATGTCCATAAGAAAACCCATAAAATCATAAAATTGCCCGTTTATTCGACAAAAAACAGATGTGGATTGAGGGGATCAAGCAAATTGCTCTGTAAATTGAGATTATAAACGATTTATAAGGTCATCTCAAGTTAATGAAGCACTAAAGTGGGCAATCTAGCAGAATATATTATACTAGGTCATGATGAATATTTTGGCGAAAAGTGGAAAATTTCTGATAAAAAACCAGTAAATTGCTTTGTGAAAATTGTATAGAGATTAGAATGTATTTTTGTAAAGTGTTTGAAGTTTAACGTCCATCTTAAACATAATTTGCAAACTATATTATCCATGGTCATCATGGATAATCTATATGGATAAAAATGTTGATTTTAGTGGCTATTTCGATACTCAAAGAAGCCCAGCGTATTTTAAAAGCCAACAAATATAAAAAAACATTTAGATTCTTTAAGAATTCATTTGAAAATAGATCAATATTCACTAAATCATCATGAATAACATCTTGATATTATGACTTCTCCAAAAGTTTATATAAAGCAAAAAACTGTTCTTGTAAGTTCTAAATAGCCTGTAGAAATAAGAAAAAGGTTTTTAATGTAGACATCATGTTCAAAACAGCGAATAATCACCATTTTTCAACTGCATGAACCACTACTACAACTACAATTTCCCCCAAAATTTCCACAGACTTCCGCTAATTGCGGAGTCAAAACAATGACCAATCGTTGGTCCAAACAAAAGCTCAGCAGCTGCATTTCCCTTTGATTGCATAACTCTCTTTTTCCGGCACTTGCAACCCTTTCCCTTCGAAGCTCCGCCCCCTTTGAGGCGCGCATTTTCGGGCCAAAAAAAGAGGATGGGCCGGAAGAAACAGTGGCCAAGCCTTTGTTTTTTTGGACACAAAGACCGCTGCAACGGCACTGTCAAGTGGGCGGCAGGTGAGCGGATCCTTGTTTGAGGGTCAAAAGGCCCGATTATATTAAAGTAGGGGACCGGAACCGGCAAATCCGCGGGATTTGAAAGCGATTTACGGCGACAAATATTGGAGGTGGTTGGGTAACGCAATTAAGGATGGGAAATGCATATCTTTTTGGAGAGAAATCGGGAAAATTGAAGTGATTTTTGGCTAAGATTTGATCGAAAATCAGCTAAAATAAGGTCCAAAATGTTGAAAAAATGGATTTTCAAATTTAAAAATTAACTGAAATGCTTTTCAAAATAATTAAAATTCCCGAAAACACTATCTAAAATCAAAAATTCTCGTTTTGGAAAGCAACTTTCAAAGTTTTAAAATTTTAAAAAATTTAAAAAAATTTGAAAACTCTTAAAAATCGTAAAAATGTCCAGACAATAAAAAACAGAAGATCAAAGGGCCATCATAATCGTAAAATCATCGTTTTATTTCCAGTTAAAATCCGAAAAAAGGTCTATTTGATCCGAAAAAAGGAGATTCAACTGGATATTTCAACGAGGATATGACATTATTACAGCCATTTTTTTGAGCGGAACAGAAATTTTGCAGAGTTTTTGAGCAAAAAAAGGATTTACAGTAAGGAAATAGCTAAATTATCAGAGATATTATAATATAAAAAAAAATTGTTGAAAAGGACAAGTATAAGGTAAATTATTATAATACAGAAAGTTAATATTTTATGACTGTAACTGGAGTAAAAAGTAATTTAGAGTGCTTTGGCAATCATTTCAAGGCTTGACACGGAATGCCAACGTTGGCAGGAAATTATTTGTTTGAAACTAAAAGTGTCATAACTTGATTATTTCTGCATAGTGCGGTCTGAAACGTTCAGAAATTTGTTAGAAACCACTGAATTAAAATTCTCTCAAGTTTTTAACGAAATTGAAAAAAAACCCTTAATTTTATGTTTAGAAAAAGTTTCAGATCTCGGTTATTTCTGCATAACGCGATATGAAACTTTTAAAAACTTCTAAAAATTTAATTAGAAAATTATAAATTTCATACTGACAGAATTTAGTGAAAATCCGATTTATTTAAAAATCAAAAAAATCAAAAAATCCCGATATTTTCAAAAATTTAAACAAATTTTCATAATATTCAAATTTTCAACCCAGACTTTGTTCCTCCCGCAAAGAACATCGTTCCAACTTCTTTTATCCTCAACCCGTCTGATCGCCTTCCCTCGGCTTCAACGGGTCCGTTGTAAAAGATCAGTCAAATCAAAAGTTGGGAGGGGGAACAAAAGGCGCCGCAAAAAACTGGAATAAATTTCGGAAAGAGTTAAAAAGCGCATCCCCCAAGTTTGAAATGTCGGTACGTTCCGAAATAACACATCGTCAACACCGATTTGAGGGAGAACAAATTGCTTTGGACGGGTTGAAAGTGGGGGTGTTGCGCAAGAAAAAAATATGGAAAAATGAGAGGGATACTGTAAAAAAAGTAAAAAAACATTTTCAAAATTCGTTCAAAATTTAGATTAGAGCCTGATAAGGGATGTCTGGGATTTTGATGGGAAATTTTTGCAGAAATGACGGATTTTTTGGACGAAAATTTTAAAATTTCAAAATTTTTTTTCGGTTTTATAGTATTTTTTTATCTCATTTTGTACTACATAAAGACTAAAATATTTCAGCCAAAAATAATTTTTTCTCCATCAAAATTTGCGAAGATACGGGCAAAATATTATTTTTTTAGCAAAATCACCAAAAAATTTTTTTGATTATCATGCAAATTAGAGTCTAAAGAAGGTCATGAATATCTAAAAGGTACCCTTTTCGCTTTTATTCAAAAAAAATCCATGATTTTTTGATCGAAAAATCAAAAAATTTCAAAAAATTCCATTTTATATCTACTGCAATATAACTCCCAAAAAGCCTCAAATCACTCCCAAATCTCCACCAGGACGCCGGCAACTCCCATCTTTGTCGCTATTCACAGAGACAACTCCCCTCGTCGAATACAAAGACAGTTCTGTGCGCTTCATTTCTGGCTACCCACTGTTCCGTTCTCACCGCGCTTTTTTCGCCCCAAAATCGAATTCCGCGCAGAATCGGAGCCAAATATCTTTCGCCAAACAGCAAAGATGATTGGGCATTGATTCACACTCGGGCCAAGAGACAGTCCAAAAAATTCGGTTCGTTTTTCGATCGGAAAAAAATTTGGGGGTTTTTTGTTTTGGGAAAATTTAGAGTGCGAAATTTGGAACGTGAAAGCGATTAGATCCGTGAAAAAGTTTGGGAAAGGAGGGTGAATTGGCCAAAAAAGTTGTTTGAAAGGATTTTGTGGAGCGATTTCTTGTGAGAAACTTTTAGAAAACTGAATTTTTTTTTCATTTTTCAAAAAAATTATGGTGATATAACTGTTCTTACAGTGATATATAGGTAATATGAGGTCTACAGAGCAAATTTAAATTCAATTATCGACTATTTACAGTCTGTTTATTGATTTTTTTCATCAAAAATGAAGAGCTTTGGTCAAGAATAGCAAAAAATCTCAAAATAAAGGCTGAAATCATGGCGGAATTAAGTTTAAAATACGAAATGAAAAAGCTGACATTCTAAATAGTAATATCCTACTAAAATACGAAATCATTTTTTTAATTTTTCAAGAAAAGTCAAATTTTTGCCGAAAAATTGCCTAAAATTGATGTATGTATAATAACTAAACTCAGCATCTTAAAAAATCACCTTCATGTGATCTAAAAATAACCCCAGCTCCTTTGTTCGCTCAATTCATATCAATCTTCACACTCAGCTCAACTTCTGCTCCCCTATTTTATACTCTCCATCCTTCAAATCGTCACCAATTCAAACAATAAGGAAGAATAACTCCTCCAAAAAATAATAACAAAAGTTGGCCTTGCGTTTTCCGGACCCCACTTGAACGCCGAGATCCTCCAACCCAAAGTTTACCCATTCTTATCTTGTCAATAATAAAAAAAATCGGGAAAACACTGACCGCACTTTATT